CAAGAACCAGGTCAATTCTCACCACCTCTAAGGGCCTGGCCCCTCTTCCTGCTCAGGATCCACGTCTTACCAGTTGTGGGTATCAAAGCCCCATCAGAATAGCTCTCCTTGTTACAAATATTTTATAACATCATTTTCTTTCTGAAGAGAAATTCAAAGATAATTTAATCTGTATACCCATAGAACTTTTGCCTTTCTATACAGTTTGGGGGGTTCTCACCACAAGAATACTAAAGTGGTTTGCCATTCCCTCCTCCAGTGAACCATGTTTTGTCAGAACTCTCCACTGTGACCCATCTGTCTTGGGTGGCCCTGCATGGCATGACTCATAGCTTCACTGAGTTACCCAAGCCCCTTTGCCACAAGGCAGTGAGTCATGAAGGCAGAAGGAGAAGAGGGTGACAGAGGATGAGATGGTTGCATGGCATCATTGACTTAAAGGACATGAACTTGGGCAAACTCTGAGAGATGGTGAGAGACAGGGAGGCCTGGCGTGCCACAGTCCACAGGGTTGTAGAGTCTGGCTTGGCGACTGAGCAACAACCCATAGAATTATAAATTGGAGACAATGTAGTGCTGTAATTATAACAAAAAGTATTAAAAATTAAACTACAATATGTAAAATAATAGCATGTGTTTGAATAGTTAAATGTTTTAGTTGACTATATACAAAATAAACTGATGACATAGGTAGTTACATGTGTGCAAAAAATTTCTGTAAATATGACAGCTATAAATGCAGACTGATCTGAGTATGCAGTGTGGACAATCTGGAGCATCCCTGAGGGTAACACAGCACTACAGAAAGCCTCTCTTGGTAAAGTACCCCACAGCACAAAGTACAACTTCTCTTTCATCTGCAGCACAGCTGCCTTCCTGAAAGATTCAGTGTGTACAAAGGAAGCAAAAATGACAGTTGCTTGCTTCCTTATCAGTAGGCCCATCATGTCCTATAGCCAACTGTCCTGGTTTGTACATGGCTGACGGGTCTACTGGGATGCAGAACCTTCAATACTAAAACCAGGGCAGTTGGTTACCCCACTTTATACCTTGAAACAAACCAAAGCTAACTGGGTTGATTTATTTGATTTGGCCCCCCAAATAAACCTGGCTTATCTAGAAAAATAACTTTCAAAGCTATGTCAAACCTAGACAGTATATTAAAAAGCAGAGACATCACCTAGCCAACAAAGGTCTATATATTCAAAGCTATAGTTTTTCCAGTAGTCATGTATGGATGTGAGAGTTGGACTATAAAAAAGGCTAAGCACTGAAGAATTGACGCTTTTGAATGTGGTTCTGGAGAAGGCTCTTGAGAGTCCCTTGGACAGCAAGGAAGTCAAACCAGTCAATCCTAAAGGAAATCAACCCTGAATATTTATTGTAAGGACTGATGCTGAAGCTGAAACTCCAGTACTTTGGCCACCTGATGTTAAGAACCAACTCATTGAAAAAGACCCTGATGCTGGGAAAGACTGAGGACAGGAGGAGAAAGAAAGGAGTGACAGAGGATGAGATGGTTGGATTTCATCATCAACTCAAAGTACCTGTATTTGAACAAGCTCTGGGAAATGGTGAAGGAAAGGGAAGTCTGTAGAGGTACAGTCCCATGGGGTTGCAAAGAGTCAGGCATCACTGAACAAGAGAAAAACAACAATGTCTGCAGCTATGTCACAATCTTTGTGAATATAATAATCATATCATAATGCAGATTCATTAATTTTGTAGGTTTTTTCCTTTACATACATATTTTTATTTGCTTAAACTTTCTGATGCCCACCTTCCTCTATTCTTTTCACTCCATGTGTTCTTTTGACAATATGAAAACTCAACAAACATTGTATTCTAGACTCAGATCATTACAGTCTGGTTCTTTTCCTCCTGTTAGCTGGCAGGACACCATTTGTGTGGTGGTCCCCAGACAGGACTGCACATCTGACATTCCTGCTCCCTCCCTCTGATGTGAAAATTGCTCCCCTCACTAACCCCAATCAGGATCACTAAAGCCCTCCCTATGAATTTTCAAATATCAGAGAACGCTGGGCTGAAAACCGTTTTTCTGAACATGAGAGTCCCTGGTGAGAATTCAGGGGTTCTGTGAACCCAGATGGGGAAAATAACCTCTATTTTCACTAACTTCTATTTGAAATTTAGCCGTTCTTCCTTGATGGATGGAGATAAGAAAGCTCAGTGAGGTTAGCAGGAGAGGTTGGGTCCCCAACAGAAACCACAAGAGTTTTAGAATCACGACAAAGTTGTCGGAGACACCTCTCGACTTGCCAGACGGCTGTAACTTGAGCTTCACCGCCTGATCTCCTTTCGAGAAGTAGTATACACGAAAGGCTTTGAGGCTGTATTTCACAATTAATCGATGGGGTTTGGTTCCTGTTTTTCATCCGAGGCCCAGCAGAGGGAGCCATCGAGGAGCGGCGGGCGGGTCCCAGGGGTGCGGTGGCGTCCCAGTCGGAACCTGGCCAGAGCCTGAGCCTGAGCCAGGATGGGTTCGCACCCTCCGCGGCCCAGAGGGAGCTGAGCGCTCACCCGCCGGGCACCTGGGAGGGGACGCGGCCGGCGTTAGCACAACTGCAGGCGGACCCCCCGGGGACCGGCGCCCTCGGGCGGCGCGTGAGGCTGGCCACCAGGTGGCCTCGGAGTTCCGGGAGGGCGCGGCACCCGCGGCCGCCGCCGCCCCCACTGATGCCGCATCTGATACTGCTGTCAGGACTGGTGCTGAAGGGCGCGGCAGGTAACCCGGGGCGGTGGGGGCCGGGGGCGCTGCTAGGGAAGGATCCTCCAAGAAGACAGATGCCATTCCGGGTTTGGAGGCGAGGAGAGCATGGTCAGTCGGAGAGATGACCCAAGATAGCCGAAGCCACAGCTTCCTGGGGATCCCTTGGCCCGTCTGGAGGACACCGCTCGCACTCGGCTCCCAGACCTGGTCCTCCAGGATGGCCCCGGGGAAAAGCTCCTCGGGGGCAGGAATCTGAGCGCGGCCTTGGAATCTGCACAAGCCTCTGCTTGCTTGCTCGACGAGGCACCTGCCCATCGCTATAGGTCTCCCTGGCTCCCTGCAGAGGTTATCTCGGGTGGCCCGAGGTAGATAACCTACCTCCTTGTTGAGGTAGCGGGTGAGGGGAGCAGCAAGGATTTTTTTGACTTGGCGGGGAATTTCCATCCTTTTCCAATTTTCATTCTGCACGCAGAATTGCAGGGCTGATCCTCTCCCCGCCCCTCCCCTGCCGGATTCCCGACCACCCCCACCGAGCACCACCCATCCTAACTGCCCAGAGGCCTGAAAATTATTAGCACAGACCGGGAGTGTCCACCGTCATGGCAGTAACAATAGCTGATGTCCTTTATTCCAGGCTCTGTACTAAAGGCTTCAAATACAAGAAGCCATTTCGGCTGTAGAAAATTCAAAATGTACTTTTTACAGATTTAAAATAGGGCCCGGAAAGGACGCTAGGGGGCAATACTGGGATCCAGATTCGGAGATTTTTTTCCTTTCTTTTTTTCAGAGTTTTTAACCATATTTGTTCTTGGGCCTTGTCTCAGAATGTCTTTTACACATAAGTGAAATACATATGATTCCAAAGGAATTATATTTTTATAAGCTATTAAAATTTTTAGCTATAAATATAAATTTGTAATATGTAATATATGTGCTTCTAAGTTAACACATTAAAATCACCCATTAAATAGCAACAATTCCCAGAATTTTTAAGTATTGAGGGTAAAGCATATTTACAGGTGTCTGAAATCACTGTCTTGTGGTTGGAAAACATCTGTGGATTCGATCATGGACCACTGCACAGGTTCTGCTAATCCTGCTGAACTTCCATTCAGCATGGAAGATGGGCCAAACTTCAGCTAGAGCTTAGTGAAAATAAAGAGGTTATTTTTTCCCTCCAAGTTGAGGCTCTTGAATGCAATAGGAGGATTCAGGGCTTCCCTGGTGGCTTAGTGGTAAAGAATTCACCTGCCAAGCAAAGGAGGCACACGTGTAAAGAACAGACTTTTGAACTCAGTGAGAGAAGGCAAGGATGGGGTAATTTGAGAGAATAGCATTGAAACATGTACATTACCATATGTAAAACAGATGACCAGTGCAAGTTTGATGCATGAAGAGGGACAACCCAGAGGGACAGAGTGGGGAGGGAGGTGGGAGGCGGGTTTGATGGGGGGAACACATGTATACCTGTGGCTGATTCATGTTGATGTATGGCAAAAGCCAGCACAATATTGTAAAGTGATTATCCTCCAATTAAATTAATTTTAAAAAAATAATGGTATAATAAATGTCCTTGAACATAAAAAATGTAGGGGAGGATTTCTGTATCTGGGTGTTCTGTTTCATATACTAAATATACATCTGTCCTCAGAAAATGAATATGTATTTCTCCAAAGATGTATATGCATGTTCCATTTCTCCTATTAAATATATAATCTGTTATTTTTTTTTTAATGAAAGAAATGGCAACCCATTCCAGTGTTCTTTAAACAACAAACAGATGTTTGTCAAACGAGTAATATTGCAAAAGGAGAGGTCAGGGTTGCCTAGCTGAGCAGCAGGGCAGGGCTGAGCCAGGCAGGAGTGCATGGGTTCTCCTTCTGGCAGCATATAAGCATCACCTGGGAGGTTTCAATGCCTGCCAGTGTCCAGCCCTCCTTTACCTCCAAACCAGCTAAATCCATGTCAATGGCAGGATTGTCAAAGCTGCCGGGTGGTGTTAGGCAGCCAGATGGAGACATCCCAGTCCTGGCTACTCTCCTGGCTTTGTGCCTGCCTGCTGGGGAATTTTCCCATCCTTCCTGAGGCAAGACCCCCATGTTCCTCTTCCCTTCCAATGTACCTCTCATTGTTGTCATTCCATACTATCTCTCCCAGCAAACACAAGGGTGGGAAGGATGTTTATGCCTTAAGATTCATGCTATCCTTTTCCATTTTCCCCTTGCAGAGTCCTTGGGGGCTGCCCTTCTTGGCCGATGACCGAGTTTCCATGGCAAAGGTGGTGATGGCAGACCTGGCACAGCGGAAGGTGGAAAACAAGTCATGGCCTAGAGGTAAGACCTTGCCCGCCTGCTGAAGAAAGGATAGGATGGTGGAGGCCAGGAGCCCCCAGCCTGCAGGAGTCCGTGTCCACTGTCTAGGAATCTGGAGGACTGTCTTGGGGTGGGGAAACTCTGCCGGGATAGAGGATACAGAGGCCAGGGCCTCCGGACAGTGTCCCAGGGGCTGAGACCTGGCATCCAGAGAGCTGACCCAAGCATCTTTCCCCACCTCACCCCAAACTCCAGCTCTCTCCTTCCCAAGGCCACCTCTCCCTTCAGAATAGGGAAGGACTGAGACTGAGAAGGTGCTGTCTCCATGCCTATCATTTCGTCATTCAGTCACGTCTGACCCTTTGCAACCCCATGGACTGCAGCCCACCAGGCTCCTCTGTCCATGGGATTTCCCCAGCAAGAGTACTCAAGTAGGTTTCTATCTCTTTCTCCAGGGAATCCTCCTGCCCCAGGGATTTAACCTGAGTCTCCCGCACTGCAGGCATTTTTTTTAACCACTGAGCCACCTGGGAAGCCTGCCCCATGCCTGTACTTCCTTATGTTCATTATCTCATTGGATGCTCAAGCACTGTGGAGCAGGTCAGTTAATTGAGCCTAGGAAACCAAGGCCTGGAGCATTGAAATAACTTCCTCAGAGCCATGCAGCTAGGGACGGGCAGTGCCATATGGATCATAGGGGAGGTGGGGCAGATGCAAAAAAGTCTCCTGGCCTGGGTGGGAAAGGGGCTGGCTCCTCCCTCCCCAACCATGGTCAGAAGAAGAAGGAGGCTAGGCTAATGGGGTGCAGGACTGCTCCTTTTTGAAGACCAGCCATGTGGCCAAGAGACTAGGAATGGCAGTGGAGAGTTAGGGTGGAAGTGGGGGAAAACTAATGTTCACGCAGACCCTGAAACAACAGTGGGCATGTAGCAACTTCCTTAGGCCATGTCACTGCAGGAGCAGATACCGCTGGATGCCTGCCGTGTAGCCCCCACTTCCTCCTGCCTTGATCCCACAGTGCCTGGCACTGACCCCAGCCTGGCAGGCGGTATCGCCTCCAAAGCCCGGGAAGTGGCCTTCCTCAGCTGCTTTTGCTTCACTCTGGGCTGCAGCCCAAGGCATGATGATCCCACTTGGGTCCAGTTAGCAGGTGGGAATCTAGTCCCAGCTGAGATCATTCTCCTAGGCAAAAATGGCAATGAGCAGTGTGTGAGCCCCCACAGAGAGCAGGCTGGACTCTCAAGACTATCTGGTAGGCAGAGCAGAAACTGGTGGGATTTTCAGGGAGGGAAGGGTGACAGGCGCCTCACTGGGTACATGGGAAGCAGTACCTGAAAGTCAACTGAGGCAGGCCACAGTCATGAACTTGTCCTAAAAAGCAGGTCACTAACTCCCAGGATGGGTACCAGATGCCAGGATGTAGGCCATGGTAAGTAGCCCAGGGCAGAGCAGATGCCAACAACCAGAGCCCTCATGGCAAGGAGGGCCGGGCCGGATCTGGACAAGCCTGGGAAGGATTAAGAATTCAGCCCTTTCCTTCACCCCCACATCTGCTACACTGAGTCACAGCACCATTTTATTTTTCCCTGCCTTCTTGCAGCAGCCTCAGGACACCTGACATACGCTTCTGACTTGGGACCTTTGCACTGGCTGTCCCCTCTGCAGACCTGGAATGCTGTCAGATCCTTATATGGCTGTTCCTTCTTGTCTTTTATAAAGAATTCCCTTTTTGAGGAGGCCTTTCCTGCCTGTTCTAGAACTGTATCTCTTGGCACATAGTGCCTTCCTGCATCTTTCTCTGCTCCATCTTCACATCACCTTCTCTGACCTTCTTGGAATCTCCCTCTACCTCCCTTTCCTAAGGACACATTTAGGGCCTGCCTAGACAATCTGGGATAACCTCTTCATCTCAAGATCCTTAATTTAATCTGCAAAACTCCTGTTACCATATAAACTAACATTCAACAGTTGCAGGGATATCTTGGGGGACGTTATTCAGCGTACCCTACTATGTTTTCTGAGCTGTGGAGGAGGAGGCAGGACCGGAGGCCCAGCTTGTACGGCTTCCTCACTACCCAGGAGTCCCAGCAGCTACCCAAAGACACAGGATCTTTTCTGTCCCTCACTTCCAGGGCAGGTAGAGCTGCTGCAGATCAGAACCAAGGAGTGAGTGGATCACCTTGACATGGAGATATCATAGCCTCTGTAAAACCAAAGAACTTCAATGCCCATTCACAGCTGCCAGCACAGGAGTACCCCCACACTGATCTTAACTCAAAGATGTGCAAGGAAACAGCACCATGAGAGATAATTCAGTCATCTCCCAGGAGGCCCACACCAGTTCAGGCCTGATGTTAACCCTTCACTCAAACACTCCTAACACTGACCACTCTTGCCTCCCATGAGATTTCTCCAGGCATGAGAAGAGAGCATCCCTTTTCTCAGTTTAGAAAAAGGCAGCAGTCCCTGGGGAGAGAATCTGGGCTGCCCTCGTTCTAGTGCATGCTTTTGAGTACTACACTTGGTCTCCCCTGGGCCTTGATTCCCTTATCTGTAAAATGGGGCCAATCACACTGACCTCTTAGGTTTATTGTAAGGATGAACTAAGATAGTGAATGAGGAGGAGTTAAACCAGTGCAGGCACAATGGTCACTCCCAAAACGGCAACTCTTGATTATCCTCATACCATTCATGTTCTTGTTTTCTGTCCAATACAGCAACTTCCAGCTGTATGCGAGGCCCTGGGTAAATAGAGGGCAGATGGACTTCTCACCTTCATGAAATCCATAGTTTCACAGGGAGCACAGGACACTCTTGAGATCCCTCCGTGAGACATCAGGCTGAAATCAGGAGGACTTCCTGGAGGAAGGGATGCCTGACTGCAACCTGAGGTGTGGAGAGTGGCTGAGAGAAAACAGAAAGGGGGATGCCTAGGGCAGAAGAAACAGCAGGTACAGAGGACCTGGGCAGAGTTTGGTATACCCTGAATTAACAAGGAGGCAGTAAAAAGAGAGCAGTGGGTGTAGAGATGTGTTTGACTCCTTTCACATGTGAATGTTCAACCAATGAGCACCCACTGTATGCCAGAAGCTGTTCTAGGTGCTGAGGAAACAGAACAATCTAACAGGAATCCCTGCCCTTGGAGAGCTGACACTGCAGAGGAAAGAGTCCATTAACAAGGCAAACAAATACATACTCTCTAGTCAGTGCAAATGCATACTCTCTCCAGTGCTCTGGAGAAAAATAACACAGAGACAGGAGTGTTAGGGGGTAAAAACTTCTGAGCAAAAGTTTTTTAAAAGTTAAGTACGAAAGTAAGCCAGGGATAGCTCAGAAATGTGACCTGAGTTTAACATGCAGCGCTTATTTGAATAGCTTGAGTCAGGACTGACTGCTAAGTAGATTTCATCTCCAGCAGCAAGTTAAATCAGCGAGTTTGGAGTTATGGTAGAGAGGCAGCATTTGGACTCAAAGAGAGAAGAGACCAACTAGTCTTGGGCCTCCCTGGTGGCTCAGATGGTAAAGCATCTGCCTACAATGCCGGAGACCCGGGTTTGAATCCCATGGACGGAGGAGCCCGGTGGGATACAGTCCCTGGGCTCACAAAGAGTCGGACTCGACTGAGTGACTAACACACAGTAACGTCTGCTGTGGGAACAGAAGGGAGTGAGGAATGGAGTCAAGGTGCCACCAGCTTGGCAGTAATGGTTCAAGCTAAGAGTGATGTCCAGCCTTTCTCAAGCATGTCTGGGCAATGAATTAAGCTTAATTAACCACATCTATTAAGCTCCCAAGCAACCAACTTTTTAAAAATATCCCACCCTTTTTGTGAGAAACTGGAAACCAGACAATCACACTCACTAGAGATGAATACAAAGTATGAGTAAGTAGGCCCTGCATGAGGAGCTGAGAAACTTTCTGAGAATAAAGTCCATAAGCCTTAATGCCTGAACTTTGGCCTCAGTGTTCGACAGCTGCTGTCTATATTTAATCTCTTTGGATGCCCTTATATATATATATATATATATATATATATATATTTTTTTTTTTTTTTTTTTTTCACTGAAATTGCTAGTGCTCACTCTTGCTAATAGGACTTCCCTTGTGGCTCAGATGGTAAAGTGTCTGCCTACAATGCGGGAGACCTGGGTTCGATCCCTGGGTCCTGGGTCGGGAAGATCCTCTGGAGAAGGAAATGGCAACCCACTCCAGTACTCTTGCCTGGAAAATCCCATGGACGGAGGAGTGTGGTAGGCTACAGTCCATGGGGTCGCAAAGAGTCGGACACGACTGAGCGACTTCACTTCACTTCTTCACTGTTGTTAATGGACTTCCCAGGTGGCGCTAGTGGTAAAGAACCCAACTTTCAGTGCAGGAAACATAGGGACTTGGGTTTAATCCCTGGGTTGGGAAGAACCCCCGTAGGAGGGGCAACCTACTCCAGTTTTCTTGCCTGGAGAATCCCACGGACAGAGGAGCCTGGTGGACTACAGTCCATGGGGTTGGAAAGAGTCGGACATGACTGAAGCGACTTAGCACACGCACACACATTCTTGCTCATAATGAATTCTCTTGGGTAAGTTTCTATAGCCAACCTCACCCAGCACACTGAGGCCTGGTGCAGACCCTGGTGGTCTATGTGAACCCAAGACTCGTTTGTGTTTCCACAGGGACGCATTCCCTCCGCTACCACTACCTGGACCTGTCCTAGCCGGGCCCGAGCCTCCCTAGGTTTCTGGCTGTAGGCTACATGGATGATCAGCCTTTTATCCAGTATGACAGCCGTATGGACAAAGCTGAGCCCCAAGCTCCATGGATTTCGTCCAAGGATGCCACATACTGGGAGGACGAGACCAAGAAGCAGAGGAAATGGGCAGAGATTCATCAGGTGGAGACATGGATAGAGATGGGCTACCACAACCACAGCACCGGTGCGTTGGGTGGAAGCCCCATGCTCCTTCCTTCACCCTTTGCACACTCACTCTCCGGGCAGCTGTGCTTGTCAGAGGGTGTGGGGCAAGCCTCTGACACTTGGCTCTTCTCAGTCCACTTCCCCCACAGTCCAGCAGGGGCCTCAGGGCCTCAGAACAGTGCAGCAAGCATCATAGGAGCTGGGGGCCCATGATGTCTCCCCCTAACCCCTTGCCTGCCCCTTAGCTAACCTGGGTTCTGAAACTCAGCTGGTGGGGAGAGGATTTCCCTGCCTCATCCTCACTCATGCAGTACCCCCAGGCCCTCTGGTACCACCTCAGCTTCTCCTTCTCAGCAACAGTGCACTTGGGCCCACCACCAGGGCTGCTGCTTATTCTGAATGAAGTGCTTATGGAGCACAGATTGTTCACACAACACCGTCCCTGTCTGTGCCTGGATACCCAACTGCCCAGACTAAAAGCCTCAGGTCCCCAGAGGGCTCAGAATCAGTAGATACAAAGGATATAAAGGATTGAGACTGAGAAGGGCTGTGCATCAGCCAAGGGCCCCCGGGGTAAGCATGGCATGACTTAGTCTTACCACTGAGAACATTTTACACCCACAGGTGGGCTTCCCTGATGGCTCAGCTGGTAAAGAATCTGCCTACAATGTGAGTGACCTGGGTTTGATCCCTGGGTTGAGGAGATTCCCTGGAGAAGGGAAAGGCTACCCACTCTGGCATCTGGTCTGGAGAATTCCATGGACTGTATAGTTCATGGAGTTGCAAAGAGTCAGACATGACTGAGCAACTTTCACAGAGTGTGGGATGTGATATAAGGATGTGTCTAATTATGAACTGGGGTGTTTGTCCCACATGAGAAGCCTAGCAGGTTTCTCAACCCAGGCTGCTTATGAAAATTACTTGGGAGATTTTTATCTAAATGATGATGCCCCATCCCTCTACTTTTTTGACGTCCCTGTGGGTAGTGGGCTTCTCCCTGGCTCTCAGGGACTTGACCCCCAGTCCCCACTAGTGACAGCTTTCTTACCTGTACTCATAGGCATACACAGCACTCAGCGCATGTTTGGCTGTGAGATCCAGGAAGATGGCCACTCCAACAGCTTCTGGCAGTTTGGCTATGATGGGCAAGACCACCTGTCACTGGACATGGAAACTCTGAACTGGGTGACAGCTAACCCCATGGCTCTGTGGACCAAGCACTGGTGGCAGGCAGAGCGCTGCTATGCTGAGTATGACAAAGCCTACCTGGAAGGCCCCTGCCTCACCTCCCTGCACAGATACCTGGAGCTGGGAGGCCATAGATTCACCCGGAGAGGTAAGGTTCATCCTGCGGCTCCCATTCTCAAGAGCCATCCCATTTGACAGACAAGTCTCTGGGAAATGAGGAGGCAGGCTGCATCCCCAGGCTGTGTCCCCCAGGCTCAGGCAAGCCCTCTGGGATCCAGAAAGATGGCCAGGTAGCCAACAGCTTTTTGCTGCAGAGTAAGAAGAAAGCCCAGACCTCAGGTCTTTGCTCCAAATAAGATAGAGTGCGGAATTCTAGAGTCTCCCCTGTTGCAATGTGGTCTTCGGAATAAAGTCTCTTAATCTGGGTCTCATTTTCTTCATCTGCAGGGCAAGTGGGTTAAACTAGGTCCTCCTAAATAAAGTCCTTTGGGGATCTACCAGCCTGTAACTCTGCTCCTTGGGAAAGAGATCTCAGGTTCCAGGAGAACAGCAGCCCTCACCTCTCCCTAGACCACTGGGGATTGACAGGGAAGCTGAAGCTTTTTTCCCCTTTCCTCCCCACACCCCTCATGCTAAACGTGCTCCCCAGACTCCACGTGTATCATAAACTTCTCCTGACCCCAGCCAACCAGGGCTAGAGACACAAAGGCTGGGGTGGACACTAGGGAAGGTAGGTGCTTGGGAATGCCTAGGGTGAAAGCCTTTCTGGCTGAGGTTGCCAGGGGTGGAGCTGATCAGAACACCCAGGACACCATGGATGTCTGGCAATTGAATGGTGGGACATGAATCAGCTGAGGTAATAGAGAGGATATTCCTCAAAGGGAGAACAGGACAGATCACATCAGGAGTAGAAGATGTGATTGTGAGAGCAGAGCATGATGGTTCAGAGCTCAGGCATTGGAGCCTAGCCTCCAGATAACTCATCCCAGATCCAGGATTAACTGGCTGGATGACCTTGTGCCAGTTACTTGCCTTCTCTGCACTTGAGTTTCCTCATCAATATAATGAGGATATGAATAGTAGCTCCTGCCTCTCCAAAGCACCATATTGGTGTGCATTAAATAAGTACTGTGGAATTCTAATTTATCACCAGGTTTGTCCTATGTCCTTCCCATGGGAGATTAGTGAGGATTCTTCACAGAAGTAGAACCAACAGGCTACATGGAGAGAGAGAAAGAGTTGTGTTCTAAGGAACTGGCTCATGTGACTATAGCGGCGAAGTTCCAAGATCTCCGGTTGGCAAGCTGGAGACCCAGGAGAGCCAATGTTGCAGTTCCAGTCTGAGACTAAAGGCCTGAGAACTGGGAGAACTAGTAGTATGGTTCCTTCAAATGCTAGAAAGTTTGAGACCCAAGAAGAGTCAGTGTTTCAGTTAGAGTCTGAAGGCAGGAAAAGACCAGTGTTCCAGCTCAGCAATCATGCTAGAGGAGCTCCCTGTTACTCAACCTCTTTGTTCTGTTCCGATCTTCAGTTGAGTGGGTGGATCCACTCACACTGCAGAAGGCAGTCTGTTTCACTGAGTCCAGTGATTCAAATGTTAATCTCAAGCAGAATACTCTTCAACATAAATCACAGCAAGATCCTTTTTGACCCATCTCCTAGACAAAAGAATACTCTTCAATATAAATCGCAGCAAGATCCTTTTTGACCCACCTCCTAGACAAAAATAAACACATGGGACTTCATTAAGCTTAAAAGCTTTTACATGGTAGAGAAAACATAAACAAGATGAAAAGACAACCCTCAGAATGGAATAAAATATTTGTAAACAAAGCAACAGACAAAGGATTGATTTCCAAAATATACAAACAGAATATGCAGCTCAGTATTAAAAAAAAATAATAATAGCCCAACCAAAAAATGAGTAAAGACCTAAGTAGACATTTCTCCAAAGAAGACATACAGATGGCCAAGAAAATAAAAAGATGTTCAATGTCACTCATTATTAGAGAAATGCAAATCAAAACTACAACGAGGTATCATCTCACACTTGTCAGAACAACCATCATCAAAAAATCTACAAACAGGGACTTCCCTGGTGGTCCAGTGTTAAGAATCTGCCTTGCAAGGCAGGGGACATGGATTCAAGCCCTGTCAGGGAACTAAGATCCCACATGCTGTGAGGCAACTAAATGTGCACAACACAACTAGAGAGAAGTCCACTTGCCGCAACGGAGAACCAGTGCAGCCATAAATAAATAAATAAAAAATATATATATTTAAATCTACAAACAGTAAGTGCTGGAGAGGGTGTGGATAAAATGGAACCCTCTTGCACTGTTGGTAGGAATGTAAATTGATACAGTCACCATGGAATACAATATGGAGGTTCCTTAAAAACCTTAAAATAGAACTACCATATGACCCGGCAATCCCACTACTTGGCATATACCCTGAGAAAACTACAACTCAAAAAGACACATGTACCCCAATGTTCATTACAGCACTATTTACAATAGCCAGGACATGAAAGTGAAACCATTCGCCTCAGATTGGGACTCTAAGTCACATGGCCAGGACTTGAACACAGCTGAAACCCCACGTGGGACTCCAACCATGATCTTTTCATTAGAATCACTCACCTGGTGTCTGGACTTAATCAGGAACAGTTTCTTTGTGTCTCAGCACAGAAGGAGTCCAGCAAGAGACAAAGTGATGGGTTAGCAGTAGATATATAAATATAGGACACTTAGAAGAGATGTAAGCAGGCAGGCCAGGGAGCTCTACCCTAAGGATTAAGTGGGCTACAATTTTATAGTCAAAGGAAAGGGGGAGGGAGAAAGTACCACCTTCTCTGAGTAGACATGAGATTTACATCAGTAGCTCCTCCTTTGTATCAGGCAGGAGACTGACCCATGAGGTCAAACTAGGATTATCATAGCACTTATTCAAATCAGTAGAAGGGTGGTGACATTTTTCTTCCACCTAAAGGTCCGAGGCACATCTCATGCTTGTAGTTAAGCAAGCCTGCTTCATTTCATGATGTTCCAATAGCTTTCTTGAGTGATCATTAACTGCCAGTGGTCTCCCAAAGTTTCCTAGGTTTCCCTTTCTATCTATAGTACCCTACTGGGACATATATAGCTACTTGTGTAACTATTCTATTCTATTCCTCTCAGAAGCAACCTAAACATCCATCAACAAATACATAGGTAAAGAAGATGTGGTACATACATATAGTGGAATATTGTTGTTATTCAGTTGCTCATTCATTTCGGATTTTTTGCGACCCCACAGACTGCAGTATGCCAGGCTTTCCTGTCCTTCACCATCTCCCGGAGTTTGCTCAAACTCATGCCCATTGAATTGGCGATGTCATCCATCTCATCTTCTGTCATCCCCTTCTCCTCTTGCCTTCTATCTTTCCCAGCATCAGGGTCTTTTCCAATGAGTTAACTCTGCATCAGGTGGCCAAAGTTTTGGAGTTTCAGCTTCAACATTAGTCCTTCCAATGAACACCCAGGACTGACCTTTAGGATGGACTGGTTGGATCTCATTGCAGTCCAAGGGACTCTCAAGAGTCTTCTCCAACACCACAGTTCAAAAGCATCAATTCTTCAGCACTCAGCTTTCTATATAATTCAACTCTCACATCCATACATGACTACTGGAAAAACCATAGCCTTGACTAGATGGACCTTTGTTGACAAAGTAATGTCTCTGCTTTTTCATATGCTGTCTAGGTTGGTCATAACTTTTCTTCCAAGGAGTAAGCGTCTTTTAATTTCATGGCTGCAGTCACCATCTGCAGTGATTTTGGAGCCCCCAAAAATAAAGTCTCTCACTGTTTCCACTGTTTCCACGTCTATTTGCCATGAAGTGATGGGACTGGTGCCATGATCTTAGTTTTCTGAGTGTTGAGCTTTAAGCAAACTTTTTCACTCTCCTCTTTCACTTTCATCAAGAGGCTCTTTAGTTCTTCTTCACTTTCTGCCATAAGGGTGGTGTCACTTGCATATCTGAGGTTATTGATATTTCTCCCAGCAGTCTTGATTCCAGCTTGTGTTTCTTCCGGCCCAGCATTTCTCATGATGTACTCTGCATATAGGTTAAATAAGCAGAGTGACAATATACAGCCTTGACGTACTCCTTTTCCTATTTGGAGCCAATCTGTTGTTTAATGTCCAGTTCTAACTGTTGCTTCCTGACCTGCATACAGGTTTCTCAGGAGGCAGGTCAGGTGGTCTGGTATTCCCATCTCTTGAGGTTTTCCAGAGTTTGTTGTGGTCCACACAGTCAAAGGCTTTGACATAGCCAAAAAGCAGAAGTAGATGTTTTTTTGGAACTCTCTTCTACTGGGTCATGTTCAGTAAATCTTTAATCCAATTTTCTGTTGTTGGGCAGGGCTGTGTTTCATGGCAAACAGATGGGGAAACAATGGAAACAGCGAGAAACTTTATTTTCTGGGGTTCCAAAATCACTGCAGATGGTGACTACAGCCATGAAATTAAAAGACACTTGCTCCTTGGAAGAAAAGCTATGACCAACCTAGACAGCATATGGAAAAAGCAGGGACATTACTTTGCCAACAAAGGTCCATCCAGTCACTATGGTTTTTCCAGTAGTCATGTATGGATGTGAAAGTTGGACTATAAAGAAAGCTGAGCACCAAAGAACTGATGCTTTTGAACTGTGGTGTTGGAGAAGACTCTTGAGAGTCCTTTGGACTGTGAGATCAAACCAGTCCATCCTAAAGGAAACTAACCCCAAATATTCACTGGAAAGACTGATGCTGAAGCTGAAACCAATACTTTGGTCACCTGATGGGAAGAATTGACTCATTGGAAAAGACCCTGATGCTGGGAAGGACTGAAGGAAGGAGGAGAAGGTGATGACAGAGGATGAGATGGTTGGATGGCATCATCGACTCAGTGGACATAAGTTTGAGCAAACTCCGGGAGTTGGTGATGGGACAGGGAAGCCTGAAGTGCTGCAGTCCATGGGGTCGCAAAGAGTTGGACACGACTGAGTGGCTGAACTGAACTGATTAGGTACCTACTGTATGCAGGAGGTCACAGAGGAAGTAAATAAAGTCACTGAGAAAACCCTAGGATCTCTGTAGGAAGAAGGAGGTATGTCAGACAAGGACCCAACAGCCCCCCAGAGGAAGCTCCTTGGAGGTTGGGGACAGAAAGTCAGTCCCCCTCATGGCAATTAACAGGTCAATGCTCCTTTGTAACAGCTGGAAATCAGTCATCCCTGCCTACAACAGTAATTGGGTACATCCCCTAGACAGAGACCTCGTCCCCATTTCCTTGTCCTCCACCCTGGAAGATGCTGGAGGAGCCCAGAATTAAGCCTAAGGGATAGGCAGAGAACAGCCACTCAGCAGTCTTCCTCCCTCCTCCTCTCCTTGCAGAACCACACACAGTATGGGTGACAAAGCACTCAGCCCAGGATGGAGGTACCACCCTGAGGTGCTGGGCCCTGGGCTTCTATCCACGAGACATCTCACTGAGCTGGTGGCTGGGTGAGAAGAAGTTGAATTCAAAGCTTGAGTATGTCGAGACACGCCCCAGTGGAGATGGCACCTATCAGACGTGGATGGCCGTGTGGGTGCCTGCTGGGAATGAGACCCAATACACATGCCATGTGCAGCACTCCAGCCTGAATCACACGCTCACTGTGTCCTGGGGTGAGAAGCTGGGCTTGCCCGGGAGGGCTGAGGGGGGAGAAGGGGAGGGTCCCAGGGGACCAGAGACAATCCCATGATCTGGGAGTGCCCACTTTTCTCTGTTTTTCTTAGAAATGCCCTCTCATCCAGGACTTGCCATAGTTATCTCTCTCATCCTGATCTTGCTGGTGATTGGCGGTGTTGTGAGCTTGATCAAGTGCCTTCAAGGTAGGTGGGTAAGGAACAAAGGAGTGGGAAGCCCTCTGGCTGCAGAGGGCTTTTAGGGAAGGAATGTATCCTTCCCTGCCGCAGCAAGAACTGTTTTCTCCTGGGAGCAGCAACTACTGCTGAGGTCCTGCCCCCTGTCCCCCACCTGTAGAAAAGCCCAAATGTCCCCACCCCACCGCAGTTGCACACCACCAGGAGGACCCTGTGGATTCCACAGTCGGGGGAGACCTGGGACTGACTTGGGAAAAGGCCCAGATAGGGGAGGAAGAGGGGTGGTGGAGACCCACTCACCGGGTCTCCTGTGTTCTTTTTCTCCACAGCCAGGAATAAGGAGCCTTACGAGCAAGCCCCAGGTGATTGTGGTAAGGACCAGTTGGGGAGAGGAAACCCCAGATGTTCCCAACACAGCAGAGATGCCTTAGAACTCAGGATGGGGGTGGAGCATGGGGTGTGTGCTTTCCCTGGCCTCAGTCCCCTGCCCCCAGGCAGAGTGGGTAGGGAGCACTCCAGAGAGCCACTATCCGGGTTTGGAAGAGGGTTGGGGAGCCTATTGGGGTCACCTCCTTTCCTTTCTTCCTGCAGGTGAATAGGACCCCCATAATTCTCAAAGCCCAGCAAGATCAGGAGCTGCTCAACTCATCTGCTGACAGAAGTCACTGTCACAAATCAAGGATGTGTTTTGTGGAGTGTTAGGGGGGCCTTCAGGCCCCCCTGCACTGGCTGGCTCATGTGATCTGTGAAGGGCCCACCCAACCCAAAACTGAGCCCTCTTCATCCCCACCAGCCTTCTTACAAGCAGTCTGTGCCACTAAGATGGCTTTACCCTCTTCCTGAAGCCCTTTTAAAAGTCTAATTATTTCCAGTTTGGGGGGTGGGAAGGGGGGCAGTACTAATCCCTCAGCTTCTCTTACACTTGACAATTTGCAGAGTGATTTCATGTTAATTGTAAATCCCACTTGAGCTTCTCAGGCACTCTATGAGTTTGGCAATGTTACGCTCATTCCCACTTGCCCAACCTGAAAACCAAGGGTCTGGGCAGTCAGGGAAAAACCAGAAAAGTATCCAAGAGTTATAGGGGCAGCATCCTGTGTGAACCTGCTAGCATCAGAAAGAAATGACTGACTGCCTGCTTCTTTTATAGGTGTGTTCTGTATATATGTATGATCTCCTTCTGTATAGATTAGAGTGTTGGGTGTGTGAGGGTATAGGAGAGGCAGTAAGAGTAGGTGTGTGAAACTGAGGAGGTGTGTTAGGCTGAAGATGTGTGAGTGTGTATGTTTGAGGGTGAGAGGATATATGAGGTGCATGTGAGGGGGAGTGTATGTGTGGTGTGTGGTATCCTTTTGTATTTGAGGAGAAGCTCAGAAGACAGGTACCTGGAGACCTGTTAGTTAGTCCCAGGCAACTGAAGGTTGGGACACAATTCAGACCATACTTTCCCTATGTCCTATCCTTTTGAATTGTTGAATTTTTACAATAGGCACAGGTTACTGATAGAGTAGGAAAAGACCCCTTTTCTCTGTGTCACATGAAAATGCCTGTGAAGGATATGTCTGGAGAAGGCCCAGCCTTACCTTTGCATGTTCAGTGGAGCAGAAACCCCTTATCTCCTCTCTGAACAAGAATCCAGTCTCAGGGCCATTTGATGTGCTAGCAGCTGGGACTCCAGAGCCGAGGCAGAGAGAGCGCTCTCCATTGTCATAAGGACACAAGGTCAGACCCATTCCAGAGCACCCGCTGCCTCCCCTTCAGCTGACCCCAAAGTGCGACAGAGCCTCCTGTGGAGAGTTTGAAACCTCTATGTCTACAGCCCTGGGAGGCTCAAAGGCCAAGGATGTGAACGCTTGTAATACTAGAAAAAGAGTCAACCTACCCTGGTGGCCTATAGGACCTAAGCAGTGAGCTTGTAATGATTGACTTGTACTGAAGACGTGTCTCATATGTCTGTCTTTCTCACTGATGTTGTCATGCCCCATATATGCTCTGCAAACCACATACTAAGCAGAGTTCTAGGCACTTTATTGTATGTTAGTCGCTCAGTCGCGTCCAGCTCTGTGAGACCCCACCGACTGTAGTCCACCAGGCTACTCTGTCCATGGAATTCTCTAAGCAGGAATACTGGAGTGGATAGCCATTCCTTTCTCCAGGGGATTTTCCAGACCCTGGGATCGAACCTGGGTCTTCTGCGTTGCAGGCAAATTCTTTACCATCTGAGCCACCAGGGAAGCCCTTTATTTTGTACTTTATTGTATACTAAGCTATTTAGACTTCCAAGCATGAGTGTGGGGGGGAATGAATACTTCTGTGGTACAGGTGAGGAAACTGAGGCCCAGGGTCCCACAGCTGATTCATGCCAGAGCTGGGATGTGAGGACAAGCAGTCTGGCTGCTACAGCCTGGCCACCTCACCACTGCACCAAAGCCTCAACAGTAACTGAGCTGTTCTGTAAATGGGCAAGTAAGTACAGGTCTACAATCCCTTTTTTGCAATTCTGAAATCTACAAAAACCTCTGGAAGCTAGAAGCATCTTCCCAACTTTGTCATCAAAACATGACCTGGGAGAGGGGCAGGAAGGGAAAAAAAAAAATCCTAAAGTGAAGTGAGGTTCAGTGCTTCCACTGCCAGGGGCACAGTTTTGATCCCTAATCAGGGAACTAAGATCCCACATGCCCCACTATGGAGCAAAAAAGAAAAAGAGTCAAGTGGGGTTATTCATATTCTTCATTTACTTCCTTTAGTGTGCCTTTTCACATTTTTTCACAGAAATATTGATTTGGGGGATTATTGGATGTCACCCCAGACATCTCTGGTAGTATTATATAATATTCAGTATTCACATCTTGGTATATTTCTAAAGCCCAAAGAATTCTAAATTCTAAACTATATCCAGCTCTAAGGGTTTTGGGTAAGGGATTATGGACCTGTATTAATAAGGTTTTGTGGTAATAAACGTGTTTTATTTTTACAGTTCTCTGGCTGTATGGTGAGATAAGTTAGAACAAAGGTCAGGTCTGTTCCCCACCAATGAGAGGCACAAGTGCCCAGGTGGACCCTCAAGGCTCCCTCAGCCCTGGGTATACTTAGGGCCTCCTGAGAAGAAGTGGAACTTTCTTCTCTGGGGAAGGAGTGGAGGCAGAACGTTTTTGGGAAGAAGCAGATAGAAGGAGCCTTCTGATTAGTCTTTCTCTCTTTGAATTGCTATAGCTGGGTCACCCTTCAGTACCCCACACATACCCCCAAGACTTCAGGCTCCTTTATAGACCCTCCAGACCCACCTCCCAGTTTTGATCTCATCCAACCAAGTGTAGCCTTAGACTGACAATCTGCATGACTTCTTTGATGCAAGGGGGTGGTGTATTCAGGGAGTCTTAGATATAGGGTCTGGCTTCTGTAATTATGAACACTGGGCAGAATAGGCTGGAAGTTCCTGTCCAGTTCTGGGCTTCCCTGTGTCTAGGACCCTGAATACTTCTGGGACTGTGGAATTATAGGGTCATCTCTCCAAATGAGAAAAAAGGGGCAGAGAGGCCATAAACTAGAACACTGCCATAACAGCCCCTTAGGACAGCAGCAGGGCCCCTGGCACCTGCCCCTAAAGGGTATGGTCTTTCCTTCTTACATTAGCCTCACTGGCTAATTGGTTTAGAAACTGCCAGAGGGCAAGGGACATGCAATCTACATCTGTCCTGGATATCCATCCACAAACCTTGGTTTTTGCACCTCACTGCCTTATCCTGCTGGTTTTACTCACTCTGTCCACCCAGCCTCTGATCTTCTCATCAGAACATAACATTTGCAAGAAAACCTGGGGTTCTGGGACCAAGGAGCTGATAGAAATGCCTGAGGCAAGGAGACAGCTGTTAAACTGCCTACCCTGGCCTGAGGGGCCTTCCTCCCCTTTCCTGAGTCCTACTAACCCTTCCCTGCTGGAGTAGCCCCCACCCCAAACTTGACACCCCAGGCAGAACCTACCAGCTTTTTTGCTGCCAGTGGCTCCACTGTCCTGATGTTCAAGAAGTATCTGCTACATAAACAGATTATGAAATCTTTGGTAACTGGATCGATTTTGTTTTAATCATATCTCCCTTATAGGCTAGTTTCAGGTGTTTTGCCCATGAAAGTGAAAGTGAAGTCGCTCAGTCATGTCCGACTCTTTGTGACATAGAACCATAAAATACATTTTAGGAAAACAAAACAAAACAAAAAACATATAAATACAAAATAAAATAATACATTTTGGACCTAAAAGGATCCTGAAGCACCTCTTTGAACCCCTGATAATTTGACCCTCTCACTAACTGCCCCACCCCATCACCCTACTTCCCTCTGCTGAGGTTTTGAGGCCTCTCACATTAGAGTCCTTCCTGTCCAGGCTGTGAGCTCTCTCTCAAGCGCATTTCTTTTACCTCCCATCCACACCCCAACATATTTTGGTTTATGTCTGGTGCAGCTGCAAAAATTGAAATAAAGGAACACAATTCAATTACCACCCCACAACCAGTAGGAGTGAACCCAGGGGTCTAATGGCACCAAGGGATGAGCAGGCTTAGAAAGCATGGCTGTCTCCCATAACCCAGGTTTTGCTCCACCCCCATTTTTGTTTTTTTGGCTTTTTAAAAAATATTTATTTATTTATTTATTTGCCCCCATCAGTCTTGGTTGTATGTAGCATGCAGGACCTTCGTTGAGTCATGCATTGTGGTACACCGGCTCAGTAGTTGTGGAGTGCGGACTCAGTTTCTTTAGGGCATGTGACATCTTAGGTCCCCAACCAGGGATCAAACCCAAGCCCCCTGCATTGTAAGGCGGACACTTAACCACTGGACCACCAGGGAAGTCCCTCCACCCCCCTTTTTTTTCACTGCTTAGTAGCGGCTGGTCAATGGTCTCAACCAAAGTCTGGTTCTCTGAGCCTAACTGAACCCGCCTGGACATCTGCCTCTCTTGGCTTCCTTCCCCAGCCACTGCTGCCAGGGGAGAAACTTGTGAGGGGACAGAAGGCAAATGCAGAGGGAGTTGGTCTTAGCCCTGAGTGTTCCTCTCAGCTCCACCAATGGACACCATGGTCTCAGGAGTGGACAGAGGCAGGAAGGCAAGGGTTCTGAGTGCCCTACAAAGGGCATGGGAATCTGGCAGGGGTAGGATGGCAGGTTTGCAAGGGCTCCTCCCTCAAATCCTTGATCTGAGGGAACAGCCTTCCTATCCAGCAGGGCACTGACTTTGTGTCCTGAGGGCACGACCATGGGCCTCTCTAGGGAACTGCTTCCTTCTGTCAGCCATTCTGGGCTGTCGCTCAGAACCTGTGGGTGGAGTGCTAAGTCATATTTCTAAGCCTCAGGCCACCCTGATGGCCTCCCTACTCCCATTTGCACAAATCTCACATGCTAACCACTTACTCAGGAGTCCTGTCCCAAACCACAACTTCTTGAAGGGCTATTCCATTCAGAACAGAATTCTCTGGTTGTTCAGTGTGGCCTGGCGCTGTGATTATGTGTCAAATGAATGAAGGAATTCACTAATTAATAATAATAAATCATGGGTATTCAAAGAATACCATTAGAATCCAAACTCTCCAAACAGGAAGGCTTTCTTACAATATCATCTCTAGTGCAGCTTGACTCACCCAGTTTCCCTCACTGTTCCAGCCTTGCCGCTCTTGCTCCCAAGGCCATCCAGAACTCAGAGACCCGGACATGCCTGCCCTGGGTACCATGATGAATTATGCAGGATATCCAAGCAGACGGCCTGGTCAGATGGGAACTAATGACAAAGGCCAACAGGAAGGCCCAGCCCTGGGCTGGTATTCTTTTTCCCCTCTAACTTCCTGGAAATGTTCACAGATCAGTGTGGCATCAAAAGCATAATCAAGGACATAGGCTCTTTAACAACTGTGTTTTTCTAGACTCTCCTTGCCCCAAACTGCCACACAGTACAAATGGAACCACATGACCTCATCTCAAAGCAAACAGTCAGGGAGGAGGGGGTCAACCTTCCAGCTGTCTATGCCAAAGGCCTGACCCTCCAGGTCCCTTTACTCCACAGTGCCAGAGTCAGGATTGGGAAGAGACCCAGGAAGCCCAAGCTCTCTGCACCACAGCCAAGGCAGAGAAGAGGTTGGGCCTGTATTAAGGAAAAGCAAGGCTGACCCACTGGTCATACTCACTCTGTCCAGCCAGGACCTCTGGACTCTGACAGGGAGGAGACAGTGGTAGGGCATGGTGGACAAGCCTGAGTCTTGAACCCAGAGCGTAGAGACAAACCAGAATTGTAACATTAGAAGGCATTCTGGGGACTTCCCTGCCAGTCTGGTGCTTAGGACTCTGTGCTTCCAATGCAGCAGCTTGCAACTCCCATCCCTGGTAAGGAAACTAAGATCCCATATGCCACGTGGCACAGCAAAAAAACCACCACCAACAGCAAAGTCCTGCTATATAGCACAGGGAACTATATTCAGTAACCTCTAATACACCATAATGGAAAAAATATATATAAGTATATATGTGTAACTGAATCACTTTGCTGTATGCCTCAAACTAACACAATATTGTAAAACAACTATACTTTGATTAAAAAAAACAACAACAAGGGATTCTGGAGATCTTCCATTCTAACCCTATATCCCAGGGTTCAGTAAATTTTCTTGTGAAGTGTCAGACGGTAAATATTTTAGACCTTTCTGGCCACAGTCTCTGTCTAAATATTCACCTTTGTTTTCTTGTTTTACAACTCCTTTAAAATTTAAGAATGGCTCTTTGCTCTTGAGCCTTACAAAAAGAAACCGAGGGCCAGATTTGCCAACCCCTGTGTGGTCAAGCCCATGCTACACTGCCTCTCGGATACCTCTGACAAAGTGGTTCCTGGTGTCTGTGTGACAAATGCTTGCCTCCTTCACTATCAACTGGAATATAATCATCTGCCATTGTGTGGGATTCTTCAGCCTAAAAAGGCTGATGTGAGTTTCCATGGATAAATCTTCTGAAATCAGAATCCTGAGAAAAATGCCCTGGCAGCCACCTTCATTGCTGAGCCCTAGCTCCTGAGTGCCCTCCACAGCTCTCTTTTCCCTGGGACAATGACACCTGAGGCCCTGTGTGGGCCAAGTGGTCTGCTCCAACTACCCGCAGCCCCCATTTGAGTTCAAGAGAAGGCTGGCAGTCCTTCTGTGAACAGGAGAGTGCGCCTGGTTGCTGAGGGTGTACAGGTTGCAAGAGGGCTTAAAACCAAGCCTCCTGTATACCCTGGAAAATATCAGCAAGGCTTCACAACATGAAGGAATCTAAACAAAGCCCCTCTCTCAGGTGCCACTTAGATTTGAGGGGAGGTATTTAGAAGAAAAGCAAGATAAAATAGGTACTGAATTAGGTCTTCATTCAGCTAGGTATTCTTGAGAATGGGTATCCACTATACGTTTAAGTCACGTTGGTTCCCTCAGGATGCTCCCTCTAGCCTCCTCTCACCATCTTCTTTCACTCATTCCTCCTTGCTCTTTCTCCAGCTCTCCTTCCCACCTGGGCTCTGCTCCCTGGGGCAAGCAGGAACTTGCTTTCATAAGCAGGCCCCTCTTCTCTTGGTCTGCTCCCCAGCTCTTTGCCCACCCCCTTCCATGTGCAGGGGAGAACCTGCATTCAGGGATGGGGAAGTATTCCAGCCTTGAAACTCAATTCCAGTTCCTGTTGCACATATTACCCACAGTGGCTTCTCAGTCATAACCTCCAGGATGGCTCTCAGATTGTATATGGGAGCTCACATGTTTGTTTTCTAACAAATAAACACCATGGATATGTGTCCCACTTTACACAGGGAAGACCTGGGTTTCAACTCCTGCCCTCTCCAGACTAAAGGCTCTCAGAACCACTAGGATAACAGAGAATTCCCTGTCAGTTCAGTGGTTAGGACTCTGCACCTCCACTTCAGTGGGGAGGAGTTTGATCCCTGCTCTGGACCCTGCTTGCTGAGGACAAAAAAAAAAAAAGTAGGATGACATATGGTGGGTTATTTTCCCCTCAGGGTTCCAATCACCTGAACATACTTGAAGTAAGAGAGAATAAGAGATAAGGGAGAGTTTCTTCTGAGACTTATCTACTACAGGAAAGGAATATAGTGGCAGGTGATAAAAACACAAAAATAACTCCAGTGGGCACTGTTCTAACCATTACAATTAATCCAGTTTTACAACAACCCATGATGTATGTGCTAGGGTTCACTCGTGGCTCAAACAGTAAAGAGTCTGCCCGCAACGCAGGAGACCCGGGTTCAATCCCTGGGTTGGGAAAATCTGCTAGAGAAGGGAATGGCAACCGAATCCCAGGATTCTTGCCTGGAGAATTCCACGGACAGAGGAGCCTGGCGGGCTACAGTCCATGGTCTCGCAAAGAATCGGACACGACTGAGCGACTGACACACATGATGCGTGTGCTACTATCATCTTTATGTTGCATGTGGGAAAACTGCAGCACAGGGATGTCAGTAGCTAACCCAAGGTCATACAGAAAATGAGTAACAGAGTTGGGGTCTGAACACTGGCTGGTGCTGATAGCTCATGGTGAAAGGTGCAGCTTCGGGACCAGGGACCAGGCTTGATCACTCAAAGAGTTTTTGTGTAACAGAGTTTTATTAAAGTGAAAAAGGGACACAGAAAACTTCTGACATGGACATCAGAAGGGGGACGACAGTGCCCCCACTTGCTAGTCTTATCAAGGCCTTATATACTTTTACCAGACCCATGTCCACAACATACATCTTAAATTAACAAGATTAGAACTAACAACAGAAAGGTCTTACCAGACCCATTCCCATAACATACATTTTAAGATGACAGGGTTAGTCAAAAGGTTCTCAAGAAGAAACATGTCCTCGAGCAAGATAAACTCTTATGTTGCCTAAGATTTAAAAAATGTAGAAAAAATCATTTATCCTTTTCTCCTTGAGAGCCCCAGACCCCTTTCTCCTTCTCGAGGGCTCGGGACCCCTCTCTCCTCCCCCTCCTCCTCTGGGACCCTGGACTTCTTATCAACCTGCCTAGGAATTGGCTTTCAGTGCCATCCTCTGGGAAGAGTCTCCTTCAGGAGTTTATGCCTAGGCAGAGACCTGAAGCTTAATTAGGGATTATACCTACATGAAGCAGCAAAGTGCGAGCCTTCTAGGTGAGTGAACAACATGGCCAAAGACAGAGGCAACAGCCTGGCAAGAGTGTGTCAGACCTTCATTTCAGGCAAATGGTACTGGTGGCTGAAGGATGCACTGAAATGAGTGCAAATGACCCTTCAGAAAATTTTTTGTCCATTTGGAAGCTGATAGGTTAAAATATAGGCTGGAAGAAACAGAAATAGAGAAGAAGACCTAGATTTGAGGAGACAAAAATCAGTAGCACTTGATCCTAGCAATTTGTTGGGTTTCATTTATTTACTCTGCAGATATATAGTGAGTATTAGCTGTATATTCAGCACTATGATAGAGGAGCTGTATATACCATGTTGAATAGTGTATTTATCATTCTTGCTCTGTGTTCAAGCTCAGGCTCAGAGAGGAAGAGCACGGGATCCACGGTTGTCTGAAGTTTCTGTTAGGGCAAGTGGAGTTCCTCACACCAAAGTGACCAATTAGTGAGGTCACTTTGCAGTCACTCCAGTGGGTCTTGAACAGCATCTTATTGAAGAAGAACATATCAGAGTGATATGAATGCCTCAAGGAAAAGAACAATTTCCCCAAATTTTGTTTCTGTCATATATGTGGAAGCCTGTATTGGATCAATATGTGCAATATACTTCTCAATGAGGGCCAAGTTAAACTGAGACCCTGTAAACCTTGGGTGACAGATGACCAAACGTCTATAATTCTGTAACTCCTTGAAGGACCCTATCATGCCTCACTCATTTTCTGTTGTTATTGTTCTTATAATGTGGCCAGATGAAAGTGGGTGGATAAATGGATGGAAGGGTCATTTGTGCATATGATGGATGAATGGAAAGGCAGAGGGATGGATGAAAAATGAATGGTTATTTGGGTTAGTGGATGAGTGCTTGCATGGAAAGAAAGTGAAGTCGCTCAGTCGTGTCCGACTCTTTGTGACCATGGACTGTAGCCTACCAGGCTTCTCCGTCCACGGGATTTTCCAGGCAAGAGTTCTGGAGTGGGTTGCCATTTCCTTCTCCAGGAGATCTTCCCCACTCAGGGATCGAACCCGGGTTTCCCGCATTCTAGGCAGACGCTTTTACCGTCTGAGCCACCAGGGAAGTCGCATGCATGGAGGAAAGATACTGAACGGAAGGATTATAGATGGAGGTGAAAAGATCCACAGACGAAGTCGGTGTAGGGTATGCTGAGTCTAAGGTTTCTGAGGGCAGGTAGCAAGAAAGGGGTGAATTGATCTGAGAAGGAAAGTTGGAAGCACCCAGGTTTTTATGCGAGATTCTTCCACTTCACGGCCACTCAGGGGCACAGCAAACTCAATCCCGCCAGGTTCCTACAGACCACACCCTCGAGCGCGGGAACCGCACTTACGACCCTTTTGGGTACATGCGGGGACGCGCTTTCCTGAGCGGCTGCTGGACCCTCTGGGTCTGGCTGATTAGAAAACTCATGGCTTAAACTGATTCTCTCGCCGCCTCCACCTACTCTGACCAGGCAGTTTTTCCTGTGATAGCTGAATGGGCAGCCGGGGTTCTCGCCTGGCGCGTTTCCGGAGGCACCATAGAGAGGTGGTCCTCCGCCTGCCCAGTCCGCCGTCTCCCGCGTGCGAGCGTGCCTACGTCATTTTCGGTTGCCTCCGACTGGATGCGGAGCGCCGGCTTCTGAGGAGAACGCCGCCGGGTCGCGCACACCCGGAGGCAGGCGATAAGCGTGGAGTGGTCTGAATTTGAACGCTGAGTCTCGAAGGGAAGTGGGGGCCCGCAGTCTGGTTCTTTCCCCACTGCCTTCGGAGGGCAGCTGTGAGTTCAGGGAGCGCCTGAGAGAAGGAAACAAGGCTTCTCTGAGAGCCTGAGGAGGGAGAGCAGAGTTGGGGACAGCTTTGAATCACCAGCGTAGCTTGGAGGCAGATCCGCAGGTGCGTCCCCTGCTCCTCGGCTCTGAACTGGCGCATCCACATCAACCGGCAGCGCGTTAAGATGGCAGGCAGTGCCACTACTAATCCCTTGCAGACACTTCAGGAGGAAGCCGTGTGTGCCATCTGCCTGGACTACTTCAAGGATCCCGTGTCCATCGGCTGTGGTCATAACTTTTGCCGAGGGTGTGTGACCCAGCTGTGGGGCAAGGAAGATAATGAGCAAGACAGGGAGGGAGAGGAAGATGAATGGGAGGAGGACGAGGACGACGAGGAGGCAGTAGGGGCCATCGGTGGATGGGGCAACTCCATTCGGGAGGTTTTATACCAGGGGGATGCTGACGAGGAGTTGTTCCAGGACCAAGAGGATGATGAACCCTGGGTCGGTGACGGTGGCATAAGGGACAGAATGGATTATGTGTGGGACCAAGAAGAAGAGGAGGAAGATACGGACTACTACCTGGGAGGCTTGAGACATGACCTGAGAATTAACGTCTACCTGCAAGAGGAGGAGATTTTGGAAGAATACGATGAGGAGGACCAAGAGCTGTACCCTGACACTCACCTGGCCCCGCCTCCAGCCCCTCCACGGCAGTTCACTTGCCCCCAATGCCGAAAGAGCTTTAAGCGTCGCAGCTTTCGTCCCAACTTGCAGCTGGCGAACATGGTCCAGATAATTCGCCAGATGTGTCCCACTCCTAATCGAGAGAGCCGGGTGAATGATCAGGGCATCTGCTCCAAACACCAGGAAGCTCTGAAACTCTACTGTGAGGTGGACAAAGAGGCCATCTGTGTGATATGTCGAGAATCCAGGAGCCACAAACAGCATAGTGTGGTGCCATTAGATGAAGTGGTACATGAGTACAAGGTAAGCAGCATGGGAGAATGTGGGGATTTGAAGGAAGTGAAGGAGAAACCAGGGCAACTGGGTACTTTGTAGCTGAGCCTCTTTTTTTTGTGAGGGATGAGGCACAGGGTGAAGAGAGATGGACGTATGTGGAGAAAAGAAACATTGGCTGAGGCTGACTGGCTTCCCCAGAGGAAACTGAGTAAAAACTAAAGACAGTAATCAGGAGCTGATCACTGTCTTTACTCCCTTTCAATTTGCCCAGGTATAAGGGGGTACAAGTGACAGCCTCCTCCCCACTCCCCGACTTAATTTCCCACTTATATAAGTACTGAGTCTATACCTGACCAAGACTCCAGGACCCTTAATACACAGGAATGGAAAGCCATAGTGCTTGTAGATAACTAAACATTTAGGACACAGCACAAGCAGTGTCAAAACTGAGGGCTAATTGGTAGACCAAAAAGCCAGGGTGTGGTTCCTGCTAATAAGAGCAGCTGGACATACCTGCCTAATAAGTCTGGAGTTACTTTCCTGCCTTCAGTGGGGCCCATTTCCCCTGTAGAGAAAGGCAGAGGACATAAACATCAGAATAAACCTGCCCTGATCATTTTCCTTACCTGTTACTTTATCATAGCAGAAGAAGTTAAGGATTTAGAATCAGATGATCTGGCTCTAAAACTTACTGTCTAATCTTGGGCAACCCTCAACCTCTTAGCTTTACTTTTCCCCTAGGCTTGTTAAGATGAAGAGAGATCTTATATGAAAGTATTTTATAAACCACAAAGCACTAAACAGATGTTTCTTTGGCTTTCCTCTAGTTTCCTCTAATTTATTTGGGTTCTGATTTGGTTAAAACCTTGCTTTCTAGTTCTGATCTGAGTATTAGAGAATTATCTCAGTGACAGCATGAAGACTGTCAAAAAGCCTAAATGGATATGACTCCTAGCAGTACCCAAAGGAGAGAAAGGTTGTCTTCAGGTCCATAAAAATCTTAGTAGCAGTTACTTATGTCTCAGTAGTGCTTTACTATAAAGTGTATTTTCTCAAATTCTACAGCAGTGGTTTTCAAACTGTGGGTTTTGATCAATTAGTGGGTCTTAAATGGGTCATGCCCAGCATTATTTTTAAATGAACTGAGAAAATATCGAGTGCATGGGAGCATAGTAAAGGTAAGTATTGTTTTATGAAACTTTTAAATTATATGTACACTGGTGTATACTTGGGCCACAAAACACATCGCTTACTCTGGGTTGCAGTCAAAACACAAACAGAACCCTGCCCTATAGGCATTATATATTAGATATTATCATCCCTCACCACCACCACCCCCCGCAACCCCGCCGCCCCGTTTCACAGTAACTGTTGGTAAGTACACAGTTAAGACACAAATCTTCATTAAAAACCATTGCTAATTCCATCATATTCATATGATTTAAGGATAAACCCTAGTATCTGCTTTCCCCCCAGGGTAATAATTAAGTTTGCCTATAGAAGAAACTATGTCCTCTACTTCTGGGGTTTAGTACCTAAAGCTAAGAAGAGGAGGTAACCTTTCATTCCTCTGCTAGGATTTCCTGAAAAGAATTTCTGAAACCAAAATTTTAATTGAAAGCTAGTTTAGACAAGAGAAAAAGAGGTGATCTCTTTATTTTGGGAAGCCAGCTAACACTCATTTGAAACCTCGGAAATTACTTATAAAGCACACTTGTAAGTATAAACAGCACAATCAAGTTAAATTGGAGATAATCCCTTTCAAAATGTATACTATTTAAAAGAAAATAAAACTTTTTTTTTCAAACATATACCAGAACTTAGGTTGATGGTGATACCAAACACAGGAATTACACTGAAGAGGTAATAATTGTGTAGGCCTTCTTTATATGGTTTATAGTTTGTTTTTTATTGGTAAACATGCATCTTATAGTAGCATGATTTAGAATCTTATGATACAATAATAGTTAACATTATATGGAACTGTTTTTGTATAATGGTTTATTTAATTTGCTATACATTAGCCACCACACACTTCTGTTTACATTAAATTCTCTCTTGTCAGCTATTAATTCACCAAAATTTTAATCTCCTTTGGAGGTGATCAAGCTTTTTTAGTTTTAGGGGCTACAGTAGGAAGTTGTTACTCATAGACTCAGGGAACAGTTTAGTGATTTTCAGAAATAAAAAAGAAAGCATTCTGTCCTCCTCCCTTCACACATTATATCAGCATTGCCGGGTATGAGGAAAGTTATAGTTTATGAAATCATACTTAATATTGTAATGTTAAAAAGAAAAAAAGATTTAATTTTTCATAATATAAGAAATAAATTGGAAAGAACTCCTTGGCTGGTAGGAATACAAAGACAGACCAAGAAGTATTCAGAGTAAAGCCTATAATCTGAGGTATATAACAAACTGGATACCCAGAGATGTTTGTTGTGGATATGGTACCATTCATACTGCTATTCCTTAAAGTTTAATTTTGTATAAGAGGCTTTTTTAGCTCTGAAACACTTAACTTATTTACATCTTCCATTTTGTTCATCCCATGAGTTAGAGTTCATCTTGACTCTTCAAGCTAGAATCAGAGGATTATGAAAGTAAGATCGTTTAGATTGATCAAGGGAACCGTTAAATGGTGTCAGGTTTTAGCCAGCAGATGGGTGTATAAAAAGAAAATGAACAAAGATTTCACTTGTTGAGGCTCAGGCATAACTGGATGCCTGTATTGCCCTGCCACCCAGCTGCCGCCGGTAAAATCATTCATCGCTCTGCAAGAGGGACCAGAGGCTTCCATCATCAGTACTCCTGTTTTTCTGTTCTTTTCCTTGAGGTAGCTAAAGGTAGCAGCCAAAAAATTTTTTGAGGCTTTTATCAAGTTTGTATTCCTGAATGATGCAGAAGATAGGGTCAGCTTCTTCAGATGAGTTATCTGAGTGTTGGGCAGTGACACATGCCAAACACTGTTAAAAGTTATGCCACTAAAAACAGTGAAGTATTCTGCAAAGCACAATTTTCTGCAGTTTTAAGATTGGACAGTATTGGAATATTAATAAGAATCTTCAAAGGCCATGAATACCTGCCTAATACTAAATAACTCTTTTAATTGCAAAGGAGAAAAAAATGGAGAAACTAGTGAAAACTTGCATCCCGAGTGCTGCCATAACTTTGAGAGGAAATTGAGGAATTCCAGAATTTCTTCATCAACTTCTGCATCTGAATTCATTGACTGAGCCTATCAAACATCGGGTTTAAAAAACAAAACAAACATCAGCTCATCCTTTGCTCTTAGTTGAGATTAATCTACTGATAAAGAAAGTTGTACTTTGCTTTGTTCAGAGTAAGGCTTTAAAAACTCTGGATGTGCTATTTTCACTAAGCCTAGCACTAAAGACAGTATTTTTGAGGTTGTATGAAATGAAATTAGTTGGAAGAAAAAAATTAGAGAAGTATATGTTAATGGCGCTACAGCAATGGCATGTTTTAGATCTGGGTCTTTGTCAGAAATTGAAGAAAACTGGAGAGATGTACCGTAGCAGTCACCACCAAGCATTGACTTCATCAGCCTGCCCATAAACTACTGGAAATCTTAAGCCTTGCTGTCAGCATAACTGTTGTGAAAAGTAGTCCATCTGATCCCAGTTTGCCTTGGTTTTCAAAAATCTGAATGCTGTTCAGAGTATTTCCTGTCACTCACTGAGTTTCCTTGATCAGAAAACTTGGTTCACCTGAACTTCTTATGGACAGAACAACTACTTTGGGACACCAGTGATAAAGAATCTGTACTTTAAAACTTAAAGCAGAATTTAACACATTGAAGCTTAAAATAAATACATTGACCCTGAAATGTCAAGGAACAGACACCAACATCACTGCTTGTTATGAAATGAGCACTTTAAGCACTTGCCAAAAATCTCTACAAATGGCAAACTCATATGAAAAATGTCAATTTTCTTGGCTAATCTTTCAAGAACCAGATTCATGAATGTTATTTCCAGGAAAAAAAAAAAAAGGGAAAATCTAAAACTATTCTGGGTGATGTTTTGTTGACTTTGTTCTTAAAACCTACCTGTGGTAACTTTGGGAAGAATGTCTCATGTTTCACACTTAATGTTCATTTCTCACTAGAAGAACTTCAGGAGTTTGTGGAACTCAAAGTTGGATTGTTTTGACTAGAAATTTTCAGATTTTAATCCTACATTATTCCATTTTTCTCCTTATATCTTAAAAGCTTTTTTTAAAAATTGGTATAACTAACTGTGGGAGAAAATACCGCAAGAGTGTTGTCAAAGCAGCTTGTGTTTTGTTGCATTTTCTACACCATCCAGGAAAGAAAGTTAAGGCTTAACAGTGACATGGTTATTATATCATTTGAATAAATTTTTGCCTTCCAAAATTTACCATTTCTTTGATTAATTTTAGTCATGAAACTTAATTTTGTAGTTTTAAATAACATTGAAGGAAGGAGAATGTGAGGTGTTAAGGTATATGGAAAGAAAAGGTGTGGGTTACAAAAACATTGAGAAAAACTGATATATATCCAAATCCATCAGATGCTCATCTGTTTATTGAATGTCTTCCCTACTAGGTTCAGCTGTTGACTGCTGTATCACAAGTCAGACTGTTTAAACTTGGTCCTCTCTACTGTGGCTGTACCCTGGACCTTTTCTTCACACAGACTTGCTACACACCTGAAATCCTGAACTCCAATTGTACCATGAACTTAGCTCTTTGCATTCTAGTACAGTTAAACACACTCCAGTTATACATGCCCTTCATCTTTATGGAGGCCACTGTTCCACTGACTCCTAATTTTTTCCTTTCCCCATTTATCAGACATTTGCTAGCCTTACTTACTATCCTTCTGACCCTGTACCTCAAGATTAGTCTTAGCACAAAGAACTGATCCATGTTGTGTTCTAGACCAGGGTTTCTCAACCTCAGCACTCTTGTCATTTTGAACGAGATAATTCTTTGCTTTGGGGGGTGGGATATAGTCTATGCATTTGAGGATGCTTAGCAGCATCTGTGGATCCCACCTACTAGATGTATGTAGCACTCCTCCACCAGTTGTGACAACCATAAATGTCTCAGATGTTGCCAGATGTCTTGGAGGGAGTGGTGCAAAAGTATCCCTGGTTAAGAACCACTGCTTTAGTCTCGGAAAAGTTAGTCCTATCTGCAGACCTGCCATTACTGGCCTCACTTAGGCCATATAGTCAGTACCTAGCAAGGAGGTTTAAAAGTGTTCGGGGAAGAATAGCCTCACCCAGCTGGAATTTTATTAAATGCAGTCATAGCATCAATGGATTAACTAAGACCCCTACTTCTCCCAGTTCTTGGCATACAGGTAACAGGGTCAACAGGCCTTTTTTTAAACTGAGTTGCCTATATAACTGCCATCAAGGACTAAGATAAAGCAGTATATGAAATAAGATCTAGAAACAATGAATAATAAAAGGCAATCACTTCAGCTATTCCTTAGTTTTAGCAGAGCCATATGGCAGTATTTAAGTATTCAGAACTAAGACCAGAGCCTCTGTTCCTGTCAGAGTGGGAGTAGCCCTGGACTGATCCATCAGCCCTTAAAGCACTTCTTTAAAACCTAAGGTTCCTCTGCCATTGGCCATCAACCTCTGGTCCCTGTGCCATGCCTCCTGAAGCCTTTATAGGACCTAGAGATTCTGTGCTGTTTCCCACCCCTTATCCCTGACCCCCTTTGGAAGCTATCCTATAACAGTGAAATTATCACATATTTATTGACCAATAAATTTGGGTTACAAAGAGGAGGCAGGGACAGTAGCCCTCTATACCAGCTCTAAGGACTTTCTGCAATGATGGAAGTATTCTAAATCTGTTCTATGCAATATGGTACAGGTACCACTGACTACATAGGACTTCTGAGCTCTTGCAATGTGATTAGTACAACTCATTTATTTTAAATAGTCACATATGGCTTGTGGTGGTTTAGTCGCTAAGTCGTGTCTGACTCTTGTGGCCCCATGGACTGTAGCCTGCCAGGTTCCTCTGTCCATGGCATTCTCCAGGCAAGAATACTGGAGTGGGTTGCCATTTCCTTCTCCAGGGGATCTTCCTGACCCAGGAATTGAACCCAGGTCTCCTGCACTGCAGACATATTCTTTACTGAATGAGCTACAAGGGAATCAAATCACATTGGACTGTATAGTTCTATACAGAAACAGGTTGAATTTTGATCCTTCCTAGGACTCTCAAGAGTAGTAAAGTCCAAATGGAAGATGCAAAAGGAAAAGACAATTTTCTTTTCTCAATCAGGAGAGAGGCTGTAAGGTTATATTTTTAGGTACAAAAGGAGAAAACGTGGCTTTTTGTTGTTGTTTAAATCTGACCAAAATGGCCTTGAGCCAGTTACACTTGGGATCCATATAGATCACATGTGGGAGATGTGACAGAATTCTAATGGAAAGTAGCTAAAAACTATTACCTGCTTTCCCAAAAGAGCTGGGGCTAGAACCTCAAAACAAGACAAGTTTAAGTATAAATAAGCTTTTATTTGGTTTAACTTTTTAATGATAGTGTCTGCCCACAAATCAGAACCCTCAGAGAATCTTGGACTTGGGGCAACAGCTCACCTGTGCATGTGGGAAGTATAGGAGGAGATGCCACAAGGCTCCTGTTATCAGGAGACCTGCTACTCTTCTCCCCAACTCTCCTGCTTCCAAAGAAGGGGGAAAATGGATACCTTAGGGATTTAAATTAGAAATAGCCTTAAAGAACAAGGAGACTTATTCCTCCTAGCTGCATTCAGGCTGAGACCTTCCTTGCCTTTTCCCCCATCCTAAAAGATTCAGATCCAGAGTTGGTCAGGGCCTTCTGGTTGACAGTTCCACTTGTCATCAAGCAGGGCCCTGCAAAGACAAAGGAGGATCCAGGTGGTCTGCAAGAAGATCCCTGGAGGTCACGCCCCCTTTTTGACTACCATTTCCTAGGCGTGTAAAATCCCTTCTCTCCCTCTATAGCAAAGGATGGAATTTCTCAGCAGGCTCTGGCTATTTAACCCAGGTGTGAGCAGGGAAGGGTTACATGGGCTGAGGGCTGTCTGCTTCTCAGCCCTCATATCTTGTAGTAAGCTGCTGCTGCTGCTAAGTCGCTTCAGTTGTGTCTGACTCTGTGCAACCCCATAGACAGCAGCCCACCAGGCTCCCCCATACCTGGGATTCTCCAGGCAAGAACACTGGAGTGGGTTGCCATTTCCTTCTCCAATGCATGAAAGTGAAAGTGAAGTCACTCAGTCATGTCCAACTCTTAGAGACCCCATGGACTGCAGCCCACCAGGCTCCTCTGTCCATGGGATTTTCCAGGCAAGAGTACTGGAGTGGGGTGCTATTGCCTTCTCTGTGTAGTAAGCTGGTTAGCCTCAAGTTTCCATTTCAACACAATCTCCTGACCCTGGTTCGTATGAAATTCTCTTCCTGGTAAAAAGCTGAGAACAAGCACCCTGGGTCACATTTTGTTTCTCCCTACCACTGAGTGCTGTTTTAAATCCTCTAACAAAGCAAAGAAGTTTGCCTTTTGCTGGCATTTCTTACAGTCTTGCCTGGAATATAGCCACTTGCCCAGATCATGCCCACTTTCACAGCCTGTGACTCTGCACATCTGGTAAAGCAGGGGTCCCCAACAGGGTCACATAGTAGGAGGTGAGTGATGAGAGAAACCAAAACCACCTCCCCACTCTGCCCCCATCCGTGGAAAAACTGTCTTCCATAAAATGTTCCCTGGTGCCAAAAAGGTGGGGGACTACTGTGCTAAAGCACCCAGAGCCTGGGGAATGCCAGTCCATCTCTTAGGGAAGACCCACAGGATATGTTAGCAGCTTTCTGGGGGACTGTTAGACCTCAGACTTCTGCCTAAGATGAACAAGGGACCTTTCAAGAGATTAAAAAATGGCATGTGATTTCTTTATAAATCTATTTCCAGCATTGATTTAATGCCACATCCCTGCCTCTGACTAGGAAGAATGGAACAGAACCTATAATTATAGTCTCACATTTCCCTGTCTTCAGCCTTTTTGAACTTAATTCTTTAGGCCTCAATCATTACATAGCTTCTGTATACAGAACCTGACTCTAGACCCTGGAATGGAGGAAGCAGGGTAGAGATGGACTGGAAGAGATGTTAAACCCCTCACTCATAAGACCTTTGGTAAATCTTCTATTCCTTCCTTTATAAGAGTCTCATGATCCTCCAGGAGACCCTCTGGTTCAGCTTCTGAATTCTTACTTTTTTCTAGTCTTACTCCTCCAACCTAGCCTCCACTTTGACAACAAATGCCTTTCAGTAAGATCAAGGGTAGGTAGGTAGGCAGGAGAGGGATGAGATAATCTTTAAGAGACTGTCCTGGGCTTCAGGACAAATCACTAGGGTGAACTGCCTACCTTGGATTTCACTCTGCCTTCTCTCTTGAAATAATCATCCTCAAACTTGTGCATGCAAACCATGCACAAGTTTGTATATCTCCTCCCCAAGCTGATCCCTCTGCCTAAAATGTCCTGCCTTTAACTACTTGCTCCTAACTACTCAGCCTGTGAGGTTGACCACCAAAGTTAGAATCTTCCACATGCGAAACCCTCTACCTGGTGCTGGGAATGCAAAATGTGAGCAGAAACAGCCTAATCCCTATCCTTAGGGCACTCACAGGAGAGGCTGGCAGAATTTAAGAGACCCAACACACACTGCACCACTAGTAGGACAGCATTAAATAAAGGAGCCTGACATACACCTGAGGGTCACAGAGGGCCTCCCAGATGTGGCAACTTGAGCTGAGACCTGAAGGAAGCTTAGATTTAACTAAGGGGAGGGGGGAGGGGTGGTGGTGGTGATAAGACATGGTGGGCCTTCCAGACAGAACAATGCATATTCTGTCTGTATGGGAAAGAATTGATGGATGAGTTGGAGGAGCAAGGGAGGGCCAATGCTGTCATAACAATGGAGTGTGGGGTATGCCAGAGCCAACCACACTGAGTCTGCAGAAGGACAGTAAAACAAAGGGAAGCCATCTGCCCAGGGCTGGCAGTCAGCAGGCCCTCCGGTCCCAGCCATACACCTTTCCCTTAGGTCCTCCCTCACCTCAGCATTCAAGGGAAGACCTCTCCCACCTCTTGAATGCTGGCAGGAGGGGATGGAGGCCTCTGCTCCTGGAGATCATGGGCCTCCAACAAGAAATCTGAAGGACTCTTTCCAGCTGTGTGGGTCCTAGGGGCTTCCTTCAGGAAAGGAATGGTGAGACAGACTTCCTTAGAAGAGCATCTCCAATTTCTTCTGTGGGATTCTTACCTTGTGTGGACTAGAGGTGGTGCCCATGAGGACAGGGGGAAAGATGGGGCTGCCCAGGGGCTAAGACAATAAGTAGGTGAGACAGCAGTAAGCTCGGAGCCAGAACTGGTTCTACCTACAGGGTGTGGGCTGCCTGGAAAAGTGGGAGGATAGCTTGGAGGAGAGCCGAGTCTTCCCTAAAGGGCAGATGAGAGCCTCCAGCCGCCTTCCACTTCCCTGAGGTTGGAGAAGAAATTCCCTGAATGAGAAGGAAGAGGTCTGGCCCAACCTGGCCAGTGTAGTAAGTAGACTTTGTTGAGAAAGGCGCAGCTGATTCTCAAACTGTCCAGCAGCTGAGGGACAGCACTGCTGGAAGGGGCGAGGATTCCTCTGCTAACCAAAACAACCTACAGCCTCCTCAACAGGAGTGAGGAGTCCAGGCGGACCTCTAACCAGGGCCAAGTGAGGGCTTCCATGCCAGGGGTCCCCAACTTCTGGGATCTAATGCCTGATGATCTGAGGCAGAGTTGATGTAATAATAATAGAAATAAAGTGCACAATAAATGCAATGTGTTTGAATTATCCTGAAACCACCCACCCCCACGTCCATGGAAAAACTGTCTTAAACAAAACTGGTCCCTGGTGTCAAAAAGGTGGGGAACCACTGCAGCAGGGAGCCACAGCGTGCCCTTGAGGGAAGCAGGCTTGCATGTGGCTGTGCTGCAAAGGTCACTCCACCCCCACCGCTACTCAGAGCCAAAGCCAAAGAAGTCCCTAGCATTCCCAGGGTCAGGGCAAGGCCTCCTTCAGCTAAAGGCTGTCCTTCAGTGGCGCTGTGGCCTGCCAGCCTCCCCTCCAAGAGAGGAGAGACCAGGTGGTGGCTGTAAAAGAGCTCTGAAGTGGGAAGCCTGAATCCCTCAGGGTGCCTGGTCAACGGGGAAGGCCACTACATCCCATTTCTCTCTCTCCTCTACTGGCATTGCCAGCTTAGTTCTGGTGAGCACCAGGGCAAATCCCAAATTCCCTCCTTGACCCCATAGGAGGGGCTACTGCCAGAAGCATCTGAAGATTAAAGACAAGTGTGGGGAGAAGCCTGCGGGTTCAGAAAGTCACCTTCAACTGTCTCAGAGCAGAGACAGGGCAGGGAGGACCTGGGAGGGGCTGGGCAAGGGTGGGCGGGGAACCTGGGAGGGCAAGGATCCTCTGGGAGGCTTCTGGAAAAGAGTCTGGTGTTCAGAAAGGTCCCATCTTTGAGCCAGTATGAGTGACCTTACAGGCTTCTTTTAAACCTGGTTTCCTGGCACCCTGCCTCAAGAATGCAGATTCCACAGGGGTATCCTGGAAAAAATTCAAGAAACAGCCAAATGAAGTTTTTCGAGGGGGAAAAAATATAATAATGTGATTGAGTGAGGGTGTCTTTGGAGAGTAGAGGTAGGAGGTGGAGGAGCAAGTGTTCTTGAGGACAGAGGAAATTTTGTGTAACACATCTCACATTCCACAGAGATGACCATAGAATCACTCACCTCTCCATTGTGCTGAGTAGCCAAGGAGGCTTAGTCATGGCCCAAGTTGTGGGCAGCAAGCTGAATACTAAGATGGGTGAAGGCAAGGATCTCCCACCATCACAGGAGAAACAAAACGCATGGGTAGGGACTTCCCTGGTGGTCCAGTGGCTAAAACTCTGTGTTCCCAATACAGGAGAGCCATGGTGGGATCCCTGGTCAGGGAACTAGATTCCACATGCCACAACTAAGACAGGATGCAGCTAAATAAATATTAAAAAAAAAAAAAAAAGCATAGGCAGGGGTAGAGTTCAGTATTGGAAAAACTACAAGAGAGCCAGTTGGGGGCGCCAGGAAGGTAGATGATAGAAACCTTAAAAGAATCCTTAGGCTGTGCAGGAACACAGCATAGGCTGTTCCTGGTGAGACCAACTTGGCTGTGGAGGAAGCCAGAGGCACCAAGAGTAGCTGCTTTCGAGGGACGGATTCTGGCCTTCTTCAAAAATATGAGTAGCCATAGCCCGTAGCAGCTTTGCCACTGTACCACGCTGTTCCTTCCCAAAGGCAGGCCTTCTAGTAGTCTGCTAGGTCCTTCCTCCAGCCTGCAAAGCCCTCTGTCAACTGCCACCCCCGCCCCCACCTCCATCGCATTGGTTTGGTCCCCAGGGCCTTCAACGCTCCAGCTCCGGACTTTGGCACTAATTCTTTCTTCGGAGTGAAACATTCACCCATAAATCCCCAAGGCTCTCTCCCATATCTTTGTTAAAAATCTCCCCTTTGAGCTCTCTTTTCCCCATCTCATTGGATGTAAGCTCAAAAAACAAAGAACAGGTCCCTTTTATCTTGTTCACAGCTGTGTTCCCAAAACCTAAAATTGCGTCTGGTAGCCAAGAGATGCTCACTAAATTCTGTGCATTTACTTTGCCAGGGATCTTTCTGGGTGTTTTACCTATCTGATATACTCTCCACACCATGTGAGGTAGGTACTATTATTCCCGATCTCATTTCATGAGAAAATAATACATGTGACAAACAGAAAAGAAATACTTGCGCACGCCTGGCCGCCCAGACCCAAGGACCTTTCTACGAGGTGGTTTTGCCCGAGCCAGCTTTCCTCTTGGGGCCTTTCAGTTTCTGCGAGAGCTCTCCACGCTCCTCTTAGGTGGGAGCGGGGTTTATTGTACAGCAGCCCACAGACTAACTTATCCTTCATTCCCGGTTTTCCTCTCTGTAACTCATTCCTGCCTTAGTCCTGGGTGAACTGTCTTTCCTCACCCAACACCATTAGTGAATAAACCTCTTGAGGGAAGAGTCGCCGCCCGCGCATGGAATCTGTTAGGGTTCAATAGTTCACCTGAACGCAGTTTACTTTGAAAATTTAATATAGTATTATCACATTGCCCACCGTTACTCACAATTGTGCCCATGAAATTAAGCTCCTTCTGCGATGCCCTCCGAGCCACCAAGCGGAAAGGGAGGGGTTCAGCCTGTGCCACGTAGGGCCAGTGAAGCCACTAGGCTAGCCTTACTAGGCTCTGGGGCGTGTACTTCCTTCCTGCCGCTTTTGAGACATCATGCCCCAACCATAAGGAACCTTTTAAAATACTCAGGCATGTTAGTTTAATAAGGGGATTTGTACGGTGCTACCAAATCACGTTGTACGGTGTTCTGGACCAGAAGTCTTCTTTTCTCTCTCCCTTTGAACTACATGGCGCTGCCATCTTGAGCAGAAGTGAATTATGGGAGGGCGCCATTTTGCTCGGGAGGGCGGGTATTTCCGGTTCCGGCGTGGGCGGCTCGCTCTTTTCCTCTGCAGGGCCGCGGTGTGAGCGGGTGTGTGGGTCGCCTCTCTGAGTTATCCAGTTCCATCCTTGTCGCTGCGGCGACACCCGCACTCTCCGTCGCCATGACTGAACAGATGACCCTTCGTGGCACCCTCAAGGGTCACAACGGCTGGGTGACCCAGATCGCTACCACTCCCCAGTTCCCGGACATGATATTGTCCGCCTCTCGAGGTACGGGCTGAGGTGCTGGATTATGGGGCAGGGGTCGTTGTGCGTGTCACATGGTTAGGCCTGTGGGCCGCGAGGTGGGCTGTGAGTTGACCTGTGCCTAGGCCTCATCGCGGAGAAACCCATGAGGCATCCCCCACTTTGCGCGCTCCGAAACAGCTGACTGCCGGGAGGGTTGCAAGGCTGGGGCCTTTTTAATCTCTAGCTCTCAAACCCGTGTATGTGACTGTGTGACCAGGAGCCTTCGGGTCGGGCGGCGCGGTGATGATCCCAACATGCCATCTGAGTGCCTATGCTGAAACCCAGAGGCTGTTTCTGAGCTGCTGCCCGGACCCTCTGCTTATTAAAAAGTGGGCTCCAAGGAGGACCTCGTGTCTAGTCTCTCGGCTGCTTCAGGGCAGCCCTTTCTCACCGCCCCCCCACCCCCAACCTTTTTTTTTTTTTTTTTGCTTTTCATTCTCTCTGTACCTGAGTGTATTTGGAGACTTGTCGCTTGCTTTTTGCGTTCACGCTATTTAAAAATAGTTCATCTGAGGCTACAATCATGTATGGCACGTAATAGGAAAAGTTTGTTAAGTAGAACACATTGCAGTGAAAGCATCCAATCCTTAGCGCCTAAAGTGATTTTTCTAATGCTAGTATTTCTTGCATCCCTTAGCAGTAGTCTCAGGAAGCCCACAGCTAGTCTTCCACATCCAGCCTGCTGTGTGCATGCATTGTGGAAGTGAAGTCGCTCAGACTCTTTGCAACCCCATGGACTGTAGCCTACCAGGCTCCTCCGTCCACGGGATTTTCCCAGGCAAGGGTACTGGCGTGGGTTGCCATTTCCTTCTCCAGGGGATCTTCCAGATCCAGGGATTGAACCCAGGTCTCCCACATTGCAGACATCTGCTTTACCATCTGAGCCACTAGGGAAGCCCAGTAAATAGATGTGGAATCGTTTTGGATTTCCAAAAGGGGAATCCATAACCTGGTAAAGTTTCACACACCTGAGTTAAATTCTCAGGGTGCCGCTTAGCTCTGCTTGACTCTTGACTAGGGTTATTTGGACTTGGCTAATAACTACTCTCTCAGCCTTTAGGTAGTTTCCCTACCCCAAATGCCCTTGATTTATGATCCAGAAGGTCAGATGGTGAGCTGTGGGGTTTTTTCACTGGGTCTTCTTTTTTGTTTTACCTGCCCTTAGATAAGACCATCATTATGTGGAAGCTGACCAGAGACGAGACCAACTATGGTATCCCACAGCGTGCTCTTCGAGGTCACTCCCACTTTGTTAGTGATGTGGTCATTTCCTCAGATGGCCAGTTTGCCCTCTCAGGCTCCTGGGATGGAACCCTTCGCCTTTGGGATCTCACAACGCAAGTAGCTGCTCTGGGGCACTGGGGGGAAGCTGGGTAGAAAGCAGGTAGATACCATCAGGTTTCCCAGGGTAGTGATTGGGTACTTATGGGAACTGTAAGGCAGAGTATTTGGAGAAGATATTTGTGGTGGTTTGGCCTCTCTCCCCATTGCTTTTAATTAGATAACACAGAATTGCTGAGGAGTGGTCTGTTTTAGCAGTTTTATCAGATATTACACTTGGGAGTAGGCAACATGTTTGAACATGTTGTATATTGGGAGCTCTGTCTTGGGTGGTTAGGCATTAATGGAGGATCCTGGTGATGACAGATGACATTGTCAGCCAATCCCCACGTGGGAGTGAGGACATGTCCTGCAATTCTGAAGGGATTCTCAGCCAAGGGCTTGCTGTTTATCAAAGCCATGTCCAGGGTTGTGTGGGTAACACAGCTCCATTGGGTGAAGAACCAGGCCAGGGAAACGGTGTGACTGTGGAAGAATGTTTGCAGAGTCTGTCTAGAAGAGTAACCAAGTCCTCCCTCTCAGGGGCACCACCACTCGCCGATTTGTAGGCCATACCAAAGATGTGCTGAGTGTGGCCTTCTCTTCTGACAACCGGCAAATTGTCTCTGGCTCCCGAGACAAAACCATCAAACTATGGAATACTCTGGGTGTGTGCAAATATACTGTCCAGGTAAAGTAAAGGCACATGCAGGGAGCACATGCTGAACATTTCCCCCCATCCTTCTTAACTGGTGCTTTTATATGGCGATTTCAAGCCTCATCTGGAACCTAAAGGGATTCTATCTTAAAGGTTTGGGTTCTGGAAGTGTGAATACAGGTTGTCAACATACTGAATATATATCCCACATAATTGAGGGGGAAGGTGGGGGTCTGGAGTTTCATGAGACAAGACAGTTTCTCCTTATTTCCTTTCCATCCTCTGCAGGATGAAAGCCATTCAGAGTGGGTGTCTTGTGTCCGCTTCTCACCCAACAGCAGCAATCCCATTATTGTTTCCTGTGGCTGGGACAAGCTGGTCAAGGTGAGCTTGGAGCCAGGGTGTAAGGTCTTTACCAACCAGAATGTGTTCCCACTGCCTCCCAGTTGGTCATAATCAACTTTGAATGCTTTGTCCCTTAACTGACCATTTTCCTCTTGATACTTTCTCAGTATAGGCCATTAAGTTTTGATATTTGGTCTATAGTAGGTAATTGGGAGCCCAGCGTCCCTGGTAAGGTGGCAGCACAGAAAGCATTTTTTTCCTTAAGTGGCCAAGATAAATTCTTTGACTTTTTTGTCACTGATAGAATGGAAATTGGCTGTCCTATCCAGGGATGCCTTTTAAGCATGATCCCATGCCTTTTATTTGACCTGAGCCCTTTTGACCTTGATAGATCCAGAGCCCAGGTTCTTCACCTTTGACTCACGATTTTTTTAGGTATGGAACCTGGCAAATTGTAAGCTGAAGACCAATCACATCGGCCACACAGGCTACCTGAACACTGTGACCGTCTCTCCAGATGGATCCCTCTGTGCTTCTGGAGGCAAGGTATTCATAGACACAGGAGTCCTCTAATCAGTGGGGAACAATTGGATATTTGAGATAATGGGACAGCAATCCAGGGGTAAATGTTTCTTAAGAAACATTTTGAAAATTACATAGTTAAGGTGTTAAAGAGATTGTCTTATGTGAGGCTGGTTTCTTAAAGCTGTTGATGAGATTAGAATCCTGTGCTTTTGGAACTTAAGAGTGATGCATTTTGAAGTCAGGTTCTTGTAGGGTTGGTGAAGTGTCATCTCTTACATAAAGAGATAACTGTTGATACTCGTGAAATTTTTGTAAAGTCAGGATACTGCAGTAGGCAGTTAATAATAAAGGGGGCATCTTGAGGCAAGATGGGTGGGATTAACATGTGGAAGAAGTCATATTTCCCTGATTTGTGTTCTCCTGTCACCCAGGATGGGCAGGCTATGTTGTGGGACCTCAATGAAGGCAAGCACCTTTACACACTAGATGGTGGGGACATCATCAACGCCCTCTGCTTCAGTCCCAACCGCTACTGGCTCTGTGCTGCCACGGGTCCTAGCATCAAGATCTGGGTGAGTTGTGTGCTACAATTGAGGCTAGATACCTGGCTGTGCAAACCTTGGCAATGTTGTAATTTTTCAATGTGTCTTCTGACTCACTGCTGGGATTTGAACTTTCTAAACAACTACAGAACCATCATGCCATTAGTGGATACCCAAAAGGATGAGTTATTTCTTCTTGGGATTGGGAACAAAAGGAAGACCAATTGTAGTGATCTACTCAACCTCAGTGCAATTGACACTTCCGTCTGGGTAATCCATTGTTGAAGGGGAGGCAGTCTTGTGCATTAATATTTAGGATGTTTAATAGCATCCCAGGCTCTACTCCCCACAAGATGCCTGTAGCAAACTGTAGTGACAAATAGAAATGCCTCTAGGCATTGCCAAGCGTCCCCAAAGAGGCAGAAAGTAATTCTTTGCTAATAATTACTGAATTACAATTAAAGGGGCATTTGAGCGGGGACCTGTCTTGGTTTTTAAACTGATAATAGCATGAAAGGGCCCAGTGTCCTTAACCCTGGTTTTATCCCTTCCCCAGGACTTGGAGGGCAAGATTATTGTAGATGAACTGAAGCAAGAAGTTATCAGCACCAGCAGTAAGGCAGAGCCTCCCCAGTGTACCTCTCTGGCTTGGTCTGCTGATGGCCAGGTAAGTGGGTCTATCCTCTGGTGATTCAGCTTTTAACCTTTGTTGCTTTCTGTTCGTCAGCCAGTTACAAAACTAGTGACATAAATGATTGCCTTTGGCAGGACTTGGGTAACTGTGCCAGTGAACACATATTAGCCTTCATGTGCTAATATCAGTAGGAAGATTGTGGAGGGACAGTGATTACTTGTCTTCAATTAAAACCTTGATTAACTTGATCAGTTTACAACCTGTGAATCCTTAACGACCAGCTGTTGCTTCCTCTAGGAATACATAATCACCTGTGAATAGTAGAAGAGTGGGCATCTTAAAAGAAGGGTCATCTTTGTTGCACTAACAGGATTGTAGAATTGCATGGCTCTAACAATGTTTTTTCTCCCTTGCAGACACTGTTTGCTGGCTACACGGACAACCTGGTGCGAGTGTGGCAGGTAACCATCGGCACCCGCTAGAAACAAACATGGCAGAGCTTTAAAAATTAAAAGAAATACTGGTTTTCTGACTTTTATAGTGTCTTTCTCTGAAAACTTCTTGAAACTCAAGTTAGTTTAATCTGCATCAAACTGGGGCTTTGATTAAAAAGATTTTTAGTCCTTCAAAGCAAGGACTCCTTTGTACTCATCTTACATAGATATTTAAAATTAGGTGTAATGGTATGGAGATGGTGGCTTTTCCTCAGGTGGCAGCTAAATGACAGATGTGTGGCACATCAAGGTCTCCTGTATATATACCCTCCAACTCATAATGGCAATGAGACTTCTTTGACTTCCAGCTAGATACATTAAAAGACTGGAGATGTAGTGTGCCTGTGTCTTGGGCATGAGGGCCACAGTATATAGAGATTATTAGGAAAACCAAAGTCTCAAGCAGTGGTAGAAAAAAAGTGGCAGATCATCTTGAAGTAGACCTGAGCCTGCCAATAACAAGCTAGTCAGAGGATTCACGTGGAGGGCGGTAGGACTTGTACCTGCTCTGTTGAAACAATCACATCTGACAAAGAAGATCTGATTAACCACTCCTCCATTCTGTGGCATCTCCTTTGTGTGTATATGCACACTCTAGTCATGTCCGACTCTGGTTTCCAACCCCTGTGGACTATAGGCCCCCAGGCGGCTCTGTCGCTGGGTTGTCATTTCCTTCTCCAGGGGATCTTCCCCACCCAGGAACTGAACCCACATCTCTTGCTTCTTTTGCATTGGCAGGCAGATTCTTTACCACTAGCAACACCTTACTCTTCTAAAGGAATAGACTCCACAAAAGCAGCAAATAGTTTTTATTTCCACAACACAACCCATCTTCCTTTTCTCCCAGGAGCATAAAATTGACCTCAGCCATCAAAGCAGAGGACAAAAGCTGATAAGTGACAGAAGGCAAAGGGTTACTAGAAAAATAGATTCTGCCCAAGGCTCTCCTAGGGATTCAAATCCCTGTCCCAAGGCCCCCTCCAGGGCTCACCAAAAGGAGGGGCTAAGCACATGAAGAGAGGCTGGAAACTGACAAGGGGATTTTACAGAGAAGGGAAGGAGCCTGGCAGTGAGAAGACCTGAGGGATTGGGGTCGGGGAGGAGCCTTGCTCCTAGATTAGTGCTGAAAAAGGAGGGGGAAGAAATAATTGGATGATGTATGTAGTTTCCATCGTGTCGACCATTCCAGATCTCACTGAAGCTAAATTCTGGCCAGTCTATGGAGGTAGAAATTGGGGATGGAAGGAAAATTAGAATCCTTCCTACTTCCCCCAGAGAGTAGACTGTTGATTATCCAGCTCTACCCTTTTCCCAGCCTGCCTCCCCCGAAAAAGCTTCCAAATCCCTTAGCTAAAGTTTGCATCAGAAAATGGAATGAGGGCTGTCATGAGTCTTGCCCAAATCCTCCAGCCTCAGAACTGACATGAAAGTTGAACAGGAATGGGGAAAGGGAAGTTTAGTAGTGAAATTACAACCTCCCTTCATCCCCTACTGAAAAACTCAGATCCCTGGGCAGACAGGAAGGGAACACCAGGCAGCTGTTGTCATCAGGGACCCATGCAGACCTGTTGAACAGACCCAGTAGGTGAGAAAAAGCTGAGCTGGAGGCTAGGAGAGTATTAGACTCCTAGAAGTAGAAGCAGGGGCCTGGGGTCAAAGGAGCATGAAGCAACGCAGAACGGGAGCATTTTAGCCCCCAAATTTATGGGCCACCTTCCACCACCACCCGCCCCCCTAGTGCTAACCAGAGGGGCCCATGCGGGTGGCAGGCTGATCAAGGGCAGAGCTTGATGCGGGTGCCCTTGGAGAGCACCCGGAAGAAAGGGAAGACACGCTCGCCCAAGAAGGCAGCCGAAAAGGTGTGCACATGAGCCAGAGTCTCTGCATTGTAGAAGCCCAGGCGCCCAGCCTCATAGTCCAGGTACACGCCAAACCGCCGTGGTTTCTCACTCGGGCTCAGCAGTGTCTGCTCCGTTGAGCTTTGTGCCTGGTAGCGTTTGCCATTGGTGCCCACACACCACACTTCCCGCTGGAGCAGGGGCTGCTGGGGCAGGTGGAGGCGGCGGCGGCGGTGGTGATGGCGAGAGGAGCTGGCATCCCCACTGCCCACAGAGGACCCCCCAGAGCCCACCTTCTCCTTGTGATGGGTTGATTCACGGGCAGCACCCACCGCCCAGCCCCGCCGCCCACCCACCTCTACCTCCCAGTAGTGCCGGCCAGAGCGGAAGCCCTGGGCCCCCAGCACGCAGCAGTCGGCCGAGAAGCGCTTGGAATGGTCAGCAACCTCCTGCCGCCTCTCTGCCAGGCGGACCCCCCGGCGGTCGGGAGACAGCATCAGAGCCGGGTGAGCCGTGTCAGGGTCCAGCGTCAGGTCCACTTGGGAGGAGGGAGGACAAATACGCCAGGGCTGGAACGACTGTTCCCTGTTAGTGGCTAACTCCAAAATTTGGCCTTTCCTGCTACCCTCCCCCTTCATCAGCTCGCCCCACTATCCAGCTGTCTTCAGCTCCCTGCCCCAACAGAGTCTCGGCTCACGTTCCTAGGGGCTCCACTTCTTTTCCCCACGCTGTTTTCAGGGCACCAGACAGGTTTTCCCTCTGGTCCTGGCTTTTACTCCCCAACACCCACCTGGGCTAGAACAAAAGCTACTCTTGGCTTGAAGCCCCAAAAGGCCTGCCTTTTATCCTCCAATTTCAGCACCCATTTCCCCAGGGCCCACTTCCCCTCAGAACCCAGCCTCCGGTCTGTGACGGGAAAGGCAAAGGAAGGTCGAACAGGTGACCTCCCTACCTCGGGCGGCCTGACAGAACATCCGGCTCATTTTCCTCACGATGGCGTCTGTCAGGAAGTCATGGCTATGGGGTTGACACGGGTCAGGGGACCAGACCTCTGGGGGCTGCAGCTGTACCTCTTCACACCTGGAGAAGGGGACCGGGCAGGGGGTGGGACCATGATATTCCCAGAGGGAAGAGCAGAAGCTGAGGGGAAGGAGAGGGTCCAGAAGGCAGAAACTCAGGTCCTGGGGAAGGAAGGAGAGGAGCGGGATATCCAAGAGATGCAGGGATGGGGAACCAGATGCCATTGGGTCACAAAGGATAAAGGGTGAGAACACACCTATTGAAAGTCTCCTTGATGTCCTGGGAATAACAAAAAGAGGGAGAGGGAGAAAGAAACAGAGAGTCAGCTGCACAGGGATGGTTCCCTTCTCCCCATCTGATTCCAAGCCAGAGAAAGAACTGAACTTGAACAGTGAGTCAGAAAACATATACAAGGCCTTCAATAAACACGCATCCATCTCAATCACCCATATGACTCATTATGCCTAATTTAACTCATCCTGCTATAAGCCCAACAGAATTTACAGCCCCAGTAAAAGAATTTTCACAATATGACTTGATCCTACTTTTCAAGATGTTAATGTCAAAAATCCTTTTCCAAACTCTTAAAATCCTTTTACAAACTGAATCGTCATTCTTTTCATTAGGTACAATCATCACACACCACATTCAGTATCAACTAATCTGTCTCCAGCCTCAAAAAACCTCTTCACTCTTCGAGTTAAATCATTGTGGGTTCCTCCCAATGAGAAGAGAGGTAGCTCTGGACAGGTCTTTGGTAAGCACCACCTGATACAGCAGATACAGGGCTCTGGGGGGAGGACAAGGAAGGGGCCATTGCTTACCTGGAGCAGCCGCAGGCCCCCTTGCTGGCTTCGCTCCTGGGCCTCAGCCAGCAGGCGGCTCAGCTGGGCAGCCTGCTCTGAGAGGCGGCTGGCCGCTGCTCCTGCACGCCCCAGCTGAGCTTCATGCATCTCTCGGAGGCGCCGCTCTAGCCCTGCCTGCTCTTCGGCCAGAAACCGTGTCAGCCGCCCAAATTCTGAGGCCACAGCTGCCAGCTCTGACTTCATCTGGCTCTGGGATGATGCAAAGGGGATGGTGGATACCACCTCAACACACAGAAACAAACCTCCAGTTTGGTAACTGCTGCCCCTCAATCCAAGGCAAAGGAGCCCTACATTCTGAAAGGAAAAGAGCCCCTGACCCCTTCCCCATCTCCTGGCTTTAGCATGCTCCTGGCACAATGGTCCCAAGCTCAGCAATCACTGCCTGCAATACTTATCTCCATCTTGGCTACTTGACTCTTTCTTCAGGTCTAAGCTTAAATATTCCTGAGAAAAGTCTCTCTTCCAGATCTAAATCAGGTTCACTTACATAAATATCGTTATCTCTTCATGGCATATACCTCAATTTGAAAGGTTGTATTTACACTGGAGTATCTTTTTAAAATCCTCTTTCCCCACTGCTCTATAAGCTCTGTTGCCACAGGGTCCTCAGACCCTGGAACAGTGCCGACTACCGAGTAGGTACTTAGAAGTTTTTGTTTTTTTGTTTTTGTTTTTTTTTTAGAAGTTTTTGAAATAAATAAAAAATTCAGGAATCAAGATACAAAATCAGGGTCCTGGCTATTCCAATAATGACCGTGGGAAAGTCACCCAATCCTTCTAGGTCAGATGTCAGTAAATTTTCCATAAAGGGTCAGATAAGATTTTACACTTTATGGGCCATGAGGCAAAATCAAAAATATTATGTAGATAATGTTAATATATAAAGAGAGAAGACCTCTACCCATTCCCACCCCATTTGCCTCAGCAGGGCAACCCCAGATAATCAGCACACTTTTCACCCAGATATAAGCTGGAGACATTCTTAAGGGTATGTAAAAAGAGTTAAAAGACCAGAGTGTGGAGGGAAGTCCTGGCTGGTCAAGTATGTGAAGAAAGTGGTTTCACTCTCTGTCCCACTGAAACTCAGTTCCTGACACCGCTGCACCCCAGGAGCCCAAAAATCTCAATTTGGGCATCAGGCTGGATAAGAAATTCCCTGACTCCCAGAATCAAGATTCCACCACTAGCTGCCCAGCAACAAAATCCCTAATGTATAGGTGGCAATGAATGAGCATGGGTCCTGCAAAGTGGCAAGGCTCAGCCACCCTGCCAGGATGGCAGGCACTGGAGAGATGGGGGAAGACGTCAGATAGGAGGGATGCCCTGGCTTGGTGTCCAAAGCTCATTGCCAGGTCATTCCAGTGCCTACCAGTTTTATAAAAAGAGGCAGGAGTAAAGGGTTGGAATTAGGGGGAAAATATTTAAAAATACTCCATGGGGAGGGGTAAGCAATAATGAAAAATGGCTGATAAACACCAGACTAGAAGATAACAGGTCTCTGCAATGCTGACATTCCTCCACTCACATTCCTCTCACTCATGCCTTGCTCCCACCTGACATCTGTCTTGGAACCTGGAGCTTCTCTGACAGCTGGTATGTGAATTTTGCCTTGCCCTCTCCTGTCCTCTGTGTTATCTGGAGTGATAGTATGGGGCAGCAGGTCTAGGGTTAAGTGTCTGGACGGTAAACCTGCTCTGCAACCTTGAGCCAGGGACCAGCCCTCTCCAAGCTAAACCTATCTCATTCCATTTTGGAACCTAGGAATACACATGCCTCTTGATTTGCTAAGGCTTCCCTGGTGGCTCAGATGGTAAAGAATCTGCCTGCAACGCAGGAGACCTGGTTTCAATCCCTGGGTCGTGAAGATCCCCTGGAGAAGGGAATGGCAACCCACTGCAGTATTCTTGCCTGGAGAGTTCCATGGACAGAGGAGTCTGTTGGGCTCCAGTTCGTGGGATCACAGAGTTGGACACAACTGAGCAACTAACTCTTTCTTTGAGCTGCTAAGACCCCTCTCCTCACAGACACCCAAGAAGGTGTCTACTTTTCTCCCAGGCCTTGCCTGTCCCTCTGCAGAGGATCTAGTCACCACTTGTGAGAGCCCATCTTTCCTGCTCTAACTACAGAACCAGTCAGCCCTGTCAAGGACATTCACTCACCTTCAACTCTGTCACCCGCCTCTCCTCCTTGGCCTTCATCTTCTGCACAGCCTCCAGGTGCTTCCTCAGTGGTTCCACATGCCCCTGCAGTTTGGCCTAAAGAAATGGAGAAAGGAAGGTTAGAGGTCTTGGATAGGAAAAGCACCTGCCCTCAAAGGCCATATCCCCCATTCTCCCTGCAGTGGGTTGGGCTCAAAGCCTGATACCCATTACAGGTATTAAATGAGCATCAAATTCCCTTCCTCCCCTTTCTTCTCTTCAGATGATGACAAAAGTTTTCAACCCTCCTCCTGAACTTATGTACAAAGTCTGCAGGTTAAGATTCTGGGACTTCCTTGGCAGTCTAGCAGTTAAGACTGCACTTCCACTGCATAGGGCACAGGTTCAGTCCCCGGTCAGGGAAATAAGATCCTACATGCCACTCAGCCTGGTCAAATTAATAAATAAAGGTAGGATCCTGATGACTACATAGCACCACACTCAAGAGTTGGGAGTGAACATGGCTTGAGCCCCTCAATGCACAAAGGCTTTCCATACGAATGCTCTTACATATGGTCCCTTCCTCCTCATAAGCAATCTTCCTCATAATTTTCAACTCTAAATACTTTTCTGATAATTTTATGCCTATGCTAAAAATCTTTCTACAGTTCTCCATGACTTACAATATACGAGGCTCTCATTGCACCTTCATTTCTGGCCTCCCCTCTGATACCTCCTAAACACAGACTCTAGTTTTAGTCACATAAAACTCCTAGAGTCTTTTCCTGAGCATAATTCCATACTTTTATCCATGCTACTCCCTCTGTCTGGGACTGCCCTTCTACACTTAGCCCAAGGCATTCTTCCTTTAAAACCCAGCTACCTGTCCATGCCCCTGATGCTCCCCATCCCCAACTTCCTCTGTGATCCCAAGGAACAGAAATACACCTTTACAATACTTCCCTGCACTGTAATCACTTACATGTGTTCTGTCCCTAGGACACACAGGCTCATGGGAGCATGGACCCCACTTATTTTAATTTCTATGCTTCCCTCCCGCTCAATTACTTGCTAAATGGAAAACAAATACACTGTCCTCCTAAAGTTTTAACTCGTGCAGCAAAAATGCACTTAAGCTCTGTGCTCTAATCGTTTGTAATAGAATCTTTTGCTTTAAAGACTAAAATGGATAAGCCTGGGTTTTGTGCCCTTTCCTTTTTTGTGCCTTCTACTTCTGCCTTTCTGCCACCTTTTCCTTGGGGAGTAATACAGCATAGAAGAGCTCAAGCCTAGACTCTGATCTGAACCTGAATGCAGGCAGGTGACCTGAAGCAAGCCATGCTTCAAGTTACCTCATCTTAAAAAGGGAACTAGGAATAACAGAATCTACCTTGTGGACATAATGCTTAGCACAACATCTGGCACAGAGCAAAAGATCAGTACTAAATGTTATCTAGAATTCCCTACCCAGGCCTAAGCTGCCAATGACAACCTGATAATGACCCTTGATCTAAAGAGGTTACTGACCCAGAGCACAAAAGGTAGTCATTGCAAGGTTAAGTGTTGAAGAAAAAAATCATAATAAAATTACAATCAATCCATAACATAAAAATAGCATAAACAACACAAAAATTTGCCTTTTGCTATTATTTTCTACTTTTTTCCAGTAGGGTCAATAATTTCAACTCTATTAACTCAAAATTTATGCTTTTATTTCTCATTTAATATTTTTCCTAAATTATGGACAAAAAATTCATATATGAATCCAAACAGAGTACCATCTAAGAGAAAATTTCAAGAACCTTTAACTTTTTTGAAGCTTTATATATCATTTGTGCATTATTACCTATTCAATAAAGAAATATTTCTACAAAACAACACTGTGCCAAGTTAGTGCTAGTTAGTGTATGTATCTGAAAAGAAACTACCTGCCTGTAAAATACCCTGTAATTTAGAAGAGGAGACTCAAATTAGTCGGACATAATAAAACTTAGGTATTTACATTTACTGATCAGTTAATGTCAGACTTTGTGTTTAGTGGCCTCTTCAAATTGCAGAACTCTACTGGGCTGGCATTCAACAGCTATGGCTAACACAAATTAAAATCCAGTTTCAGAAGCTCTTCAGAAGAGTTCTGCAAGGAGAGGGTGGAGAAGGGATGGAATGCCCTGTGGATATGCCACCCTGGGATTCAGTTAACAAAGTGACTACACACTGATGGGTACAGGTAACTAGAAGCCAAGAGGATACAAAAGGGAAGGACAAAAGGAGCTCACAATCTCCCTAATAATGTAGGGCCTGAAAGGCAGGTGGTAGTACCAGTGCAGTGATTCTAATAGTAGCCTGGGCTTTCTAAAGATAACTCTCCCTGTCAGTGATTCAGAATCGATGATGGTAGGGCCCACTGTACTTCTGAAAACCTCCACTAATAACTGGAGCAATCAGCCAGGTTTGACAATCACTCTGTGGGAGGAACAGTTACTTGTCATAAGGGGTGTAGGTTTATCTTAACTGTATGTACCACTCCCAGCTGAGAAGCTCTAGACATCTTACTCTAAAACCGGGGTAATGATAATAAAACCCAAATGAAGTTACTGCACAAATCAGGAGAAGATTATGAAAACACAAGTCATAAAACAGAAAAGCTCTGTGCAGACTACAGAGAAGAAGCTACCCTCTCCTCTTGGTTCCACTTTTACAAACCATCTGCCCCTTCGGTAAATGTTATTTCTACCAGCTGTCTCACACACAAATCTCCTTTACCTGTGTCCAAAAAGATATTAACTAAACTAGAATGAAACTTTGAGAAGAAAAGTCCCATGTCAGAAAAACCAAACAACAAACTTCTAAATAGTGGTGATGTTATAAACAGTATAGGCCAGGAAAGGGGGTGGGGTGGTGTAGTTACTAGTAACTGTGTGGCCCTGTGTGTATTACTTACATCTCTCTGGTTCCGTTTCCCTTCTGTTTCCCAATCTGTAAAACGGGGATACAGACCGTAGCAAACTCACGGGGTTGTTTTCAATTTTAAATGAGACAGTCCATTAAAAAGTGCTTAGTACAGTGCAGGGGTACACATAAGTGTTCAGTAAATATTAACTTTTAATTCTGGAGAAATTAAAGTTCAAAGACATTCAGAGACTAAGGGCCAGATCTTCTGACTTAAAAGCCTATCCCTCTTTTCTAAATACCCAGGAAAGGTAAGAAGTCCTGGCCAGTACACCAGAATGATTCAGATCCAAGAAAACTGCTCAAGGGGAAAACAAAGCCATATCTTGGAGTGGGTGGGGAACCCATTAGAACAAGAGCAGAGCATATGAGTCTGATACTAGTAGTCAATATACACTCCTGTTCCTCAGAGCACTTTCCTATTTGAGGCCCAAGCTCTTTCCTGGAGAAGGAAATGGCAACCCACTCCAGTATTCTTGCCTGGAAAATTCCATGGACAGAGGAGCCTGGCAGGCTACAGTCTATGGGGTCGCAAAGAGTTGGCCAGGACTGAGTGATTGAGCAAGTTCTTTCCATTTCTAGGGGTTTTAATCAAGGATAGATTTTTAAGAGTCATTCACAGTTAAATAAGACTGGTGGTAAAGCCCTAAGGGCTTGTCACTTGCATTTCTATAACTTAGGGACAGTGGAAGTGCAAAACAGCAGTGGCTTTTCCCCAAGAGACAAAGTCCAGTGATATGACATCACCAGATTTGCTTTGAGGAAGCCAGTCTTCCCTGGTCGTCTTCACTGTGTCTATTTGTCTGTGTCCAGGATCCTTCTCACTCTAACCATCCTGGTGCCAGTAAGTGCTCAGGTAAGGATCAGCTCAACAGTACACGAGGCTCTTTGAACGGGAAAGACACCATTTCCTTTCCCCAGTTCCTCTTACTTCTTCTCCACCCCAACTAAACTCCCATCTTCTACTCTCACCTTGTACTCCTGCACCACCTCCTCCAATGGCACCACGCTGTGCTGTTTGTGGTTCCTGGATTCTCGACATACCACACAGATGGCCTCTTCATCCACCTCGCAGAAGAGCTTCAGGGCTTCTTGGTGTTTGGGACAAATGCCCTGCTCGTTCCCACGGCTCCCCCGACCAGCGGTTGGGTGCATCTGCCGAATCACCTGGACCATGTTGGCCAGCTGCAGGTTGGGCCGGAAGCTCCGCCTAGGAAAGCTCTTGCGGCACTGAGGGCAGGTGAAGCACCTCCGCGGAGTTGGAGGCGGGGGCAAGGGGGTGACGGGATCTAGCTCCTCTTCCTCGTCCTCCTCCAGCACTTCCTCCTCGTCCTCCTCCTCCTCTCCCCTCAGGTCCTCCTCCATGTCCCCCAAGTAGTAGTCCAGGTCTTCCTCCTCCTCCTCCTCCTCCCACACGTAGTCCATGTTGTCCCAGTTGGATCCGCCCATGCCACTGGTCCAGAACACACCCTCTTCTTCCTCCTCGACCTCCTCCTCCATGTCGCCCTCATAGTCTTCATCGCGCATGGGGGTGTCCCAGCCCCCACCGGCCCCCACAGCCTCCACTTCTTCCTCCTCTGCGTCCTCCTCCTCTTCCTCCCGGTCTAACTCTTCTCTGTCCTCTTCATCCTCCCCTCCCCACAACTGGGTTACACACACTCGGCAGAAGTTGTGCCCGCAGCCGATGGACACGGGGTCCGTGAAGTAATCGAGGCAGATGGCGCACACCGCCTCCTCCTGAAGGGTCTGCACAGGGTTGGGTGCCATGGCAACGGCAGCCATCTTAAGTGTCCCAGTCAGCCAGTATAGACGGGTGATGGGTGGTGGGGGGCAGGGGGCGGGGGGGTCTTCCCTCTCAGACTCCCTGACGACCCAGCCCCACCCCCAGCCCTGCCTCTCCACACCTCGCCTCCAGCGCAGCCAAAGAAATGTCCTCCCGACAACACACCCCTGCACATAGAGTTCCCTACTCCCAGACCACAACCGAGTCCCTGAAAGGGGAGGGGACAGAGCTGAGCGATACCGCCAAGTCCCTCAGGTGGCCCTGAGTGCAAATCTGCCCCAACGCTCCCTTGGCCTCCTCATAAACCCCCGCCCCTCCTCACTTCCTGGCTCCGCCCCCTCACTTCCGGCTTCCCCTAACACTTCCGGTGCTGCTAACCACCCAAGATCGCGAGTTCCCTCCCCGGTCTCGCTACGCCCCTTTCTCCCCCCGCTTCCCCGCCCCGGGCCCCCAGATAACAGGAAACGGTGAGGCGACGCTCTAGCAAGCACTCAGTAACAGGGAGGCAGGCCTAGAAGGACGTAAGCGTACGACTCTGTAATGCGAAGGAGTGGGGAACGCAGACGAAACTGAAAGCCCGGCCTCTCCCATCGCCCGCCACTGGGGATAAACTTCGGGGAACCTTGGAAGGACTTGGCGCCCGTCTACTCTCGATGCTATGACCGTATCGGCCCGGCGCCATCCTACCGACCGGACACGGAGAACTGCAGCAGGAACTCCCCACGGCCGATGCCGGAAATGGGGAGGGCGGGTGTCGGTGAGAACCCTGAAGTACTTCCGGCCCATCTAGGCGAAGGACTTTGTTGTTTGAAGACTCCGAGAGTCCGTCGGAGACTGACTAGGGGGCGGGGTCTGTAGAAGTGCGGTGGAGGTGGGACCGGAGACCCTTCCCATCCTCCCCGCTGTAGTTGGCATTTCCACACACTTTGTGTGCCGTCGGTCACTGCCGCTTCGTTTAGATGAACTTTCTTAACTGCCGTCAGTAAAGGAACCGTAGCAAATTATGAAATGCACATTCACACAGTGGAACACTTCAGATGTAAAAAAGGGAATCCTCCCCAAAATGTAGAAATGAAATGAAAAAAACAAGGTGCTAAACAATGTGTAAAGTATAACTGTAAAGAAGGGAGGGGGATAGGATGTTAAATGTATGTAACAGCTTTATAGTCCTGTGCTAATTCATAAAGGTAGTTCCTATCTCAGAGGGTTTAGTGAAATTACTGTCGTGCAGAACTGTTATAACATTGCCTAGTACATTGTAAGTGAGATAACAAGGTTTAGCTGTCATTATCATCTTTGTTGTCTACCTCTGGATGAATACTAGTTTATCTGGAACACTTTTCTGTAAATGCCGTTCTGTATCTTTTGAACTTGAACCAAGTCAATGTATTGCCCTAAAGAAAAAAAACAATAATTTTGTTTCCCACCACCCAAGTGCTATTGATTCTTTCAACTCTTTCTGAGCTGTGAACCACGCGTGCTCCACGCCCAGAATACTTCGAGGTCCGTCTTCGTGGAGTCGCAGTATAAGAGCAGGGGCTCAAACTGGGTTTGCGGTGTTGGGTTTTACTTAAGAGAAACCTAGCTAGGATGTAGAACGGTATCAGTAAAGATGCTGCTGTGGTACCCGGAGCATCTCTGCCAAATGGATTATTTGTGCGATAGAAATAATACTTGATGTTTTTAGAAAACATAAGCTTGCTTAATTAAAAGTTTTTTTTTAAAAAACAGCGGGGAAAGTTACGGGACTCCCTAGTGAGTGTCGGGCGCGCGCGATGACAGAACTGGGCACGCAGAATTGACCCTGATCTCGAGGCGCTTCACGCCTCTTGTGGAAACTCCAAAAGTACATGTGCTTTATAAAGTGGTGGTCGGAACGCGCCAAAACTACGAATCTTCGTTCATAAACTATGTACTAGGTCGTGCCAGGAGCTGCAAGCGCTACTGTGGCAGATAGATGGGACCACACGACCTGAACGTGGTTCAGACGGCCGCTAAAGGGAGCCCGATGTCCCTTTGGAATCTTGTCCTGTTTCATCCTGACCAGTAGGGACCATGTGTAGATTCAGGGAGTAATCAGCGAGACACTGTTTGTGGGCGTTTCCGTAGTGTAGTGGTTATCACGTTCGCCTCACACGCGAAAGGTCCCCGGTTCGAAACCGGGCGGAAACACGTTTTAATTTTCAATTCTAGTCACTACCTCTCTCGTGTCCTAGAGAGTGAAGACCATCACATCAAAAACGCGTGTGTGTGTTTACCTGTATTTCTGCTCCTCGAAGACAGGCAGTGAAGCGGCACTGTAGCAGGCAATACTCCACCTAAGTGCTCCAATGGAAATTCGGTTCTGTACGTCAACTAATCTTGCTCTTCCCCTCGGAAGCCTGCATGGCCAGCTGTCCCACGTCGAGGGGGGTGTAGATTTCAGATCCCTTCGCCAGGCGCACAGTAGGAGCTCCATAGTACTTTTGCAGTTATTTAGTGGTGATCTGCATCCTTACTTGTGGATTTTGGTCTCCTGGGACAGAAGGTGTACTTATACCTGTAGCCCGGCTAGCTCAGTCGGTAGAGCATGAGACTCTTAATCTCAGGGTCGTGGGTTCGAGCCCCACGTTGGGCGATGGTTGCTTTTGGAAAATGAGACAATAAAAGAGATCTCAATGTAAGGGCAGCAGACCGAAACCCTTCTGGGATCCATCTTCCCGCTGATGATCGCCAGTAGCTGGGCTACAGAACAGATGAAGTGCACCAAGCTCTAAGGGTTGAATACAGGGCGACAAATTCCTTGTTTACGAGACACCCTCCTCCAGAAACTGCGGTATGACCCCAGGCTCCCCTGTTTAGCGACCACTTTACCAGGTAATTTTGAGGTTAGTATTCTGCGCTCTTAAAGCCGCGGCCCCATTTCGAAGTCTAAAGCCCTCACGTTCAATATATTCTCTTTAAGCTCGATACTGAGTCGATCTTTTGTGAAATGTTGCCCTGCACATCCTAGTCTCCACATTCCCTCCACACATAAAGGAATGTTAAAATGCCCCCCCCTTTTAATCTTAAAATCATGATACATTTTATTTATAGATTTCTAAGACAGATGACCTATCAAACACATTATTCTGGGAAAAGGCACTTGGTCAGTGTTGGAGGATATGCTTACAACAGGTCTTTACAGATCTTTAAAAAATTATTTTTTTTTGTTTTCTTTATTTTAATTGGAGGCTAATTACTTTAGAATATTGTAGTTTTTGCCGTACATTGACATGAATCAGTCACCAGTGAACATGTGTCCCATGGTCCCGATCACCCCTCCCACATCCCTCCCCATCCCATCCCTCTGGGTGGTTCCAGTGCAATGTCTTTTAGTGCCCTGTTTCATGCATCAAACCTGGACTGGTCATCTATTTCACATATGGTAATATACATGTTTCAATGGTAGTCTCTCAAATCATCCCACCCTTGGCTTCTCCCACAGAGTGCAAAAGTCTGTTCTTTATATCTGTGTCTCCTTTGCTGTCTTGCACATAGGGTTGTCGTTACCATCTTTCTAAATTCCATATATATGTGTTAATATACTGTATTCGTGTTTTTCTTCTGACTTAACCTCACTCCGTATAATAGGCTCCAGTTTCACCCACCTCATTAGAACTGACTCAAATGCATTCTTTTTAATAGCTGAGTAATATTCCATTGTGTATATGTACCACAACGTCCTGATGCGTCTGCCGATGGACAAATTAGGTTGCTTCCATGTTCTAGCTATTGTAAACAGTGCTTTGATGAACATTGGGGTACACTTGTCTCTTTCAATTCTGATTTCCTCAGTGTGTATGCCCAGGAGTGGGATTGCTGGGTCATATGGCAGTTCTGTTTCCAGTTTTTTAAGGCATCTCTACACTGTTCTCCATAGTGGCTGTACTAGTTTATATTCCCACCAACAGTGTAACAGTGTTCCCTTTTCTTCACATCCTCTCCAGCTAAAATACCCTTTTTTAAAAAGACCCTAACATGAACATCTTCAGCAGGTCTTGTCACCAGCTTCTTCCTTAACTTCACTTGAATTCATTCTTTTCCATTTATTGTTCCTCGGTCCTGTAAATTCATCTCATTTTCTATTTTCCAGCTGTAGAAGTCTCCTCACACACATACCAGACCACAACAGAAGTTGGCTGATTATATAAAGCTGGTTTATTAAACTTGCTAAGTGAAGGATAGTTATCACCTTCAGTCTCAGAAGTGTATGGAAAGGAAGAGATAGGGAGAGTTTAGCATGACACCCTCTGAAGACAGTGCAGACAGGAATTGGGCAGAGCTGGTAAAACAGGTAGAGTTCCTAGTACAGTTGTAACTCTCACATCCCTGGGGAGTTACTGTTATTATCATCTTTTCTTGGAATCGACGGGTCTAAACAAGCCAGCGTTGAAATAGTTTGGACTTTGGCATTTTGTATTGCAAAAGGCTTGCAAATTCGTCTGCAAAGTTGCTACAGGGCTTTCTTTCTTTTTTTTTTTTTTTAACCACCTTTACTGGGACTGGAAAACATTCCTAAAAGATTCTGACTTTTTCATTAAGAGGAAGTCAAAATGTACAGGTTTCTCTTCCCTGTCTCCCAACAAGCCTGAGGGCACACCCTCCCCAGGTTTTTGCTACAATTTCTGCCTTTCTCTCCTCTCCACCCATTCCACAGAAGCCCCTCAGGCCAGGTCTTGTTTGGAATCCCTATGCTAGTAATTGACCTATGTAGCTCTTGGCGTTCAACAGTTCAGACATCAGGCTAATGTGCGGTAGGATCTTTGCACTTTAAAGGCTGAAGAGGCAGAAAGACTCTGATATACGTTTTGGATTCTTTCAGGAATGAAGAGTTGGAGGTGTGAGGGAAGTGAGACTTTCTCAGGGAGAGAGAGGGGGGCTGGAAGGACACAACCACAGTCCAGACAGGAAGGGGCCTGCGCCAGGGTCAAGGCAGCAGCCAGCCGGAGAAGTGGCAAAAAAGCTGGATTGTACTCAG